CAAGGTGGGTTAAATGCTCCCCGAGCCATCTGTGTCAAGTGAAGAAGGGAAATGGCTAATGTTGGGTTCAGAACTCGGAATTTCACGGTCGGCCCGATTGCGGAGAAGGGCCTCCCCTGCGCCAGACCGGCTGGTAAGACCAGCGCACAAGAAGCTCTCCTATTATGCGTCGAAATCGACAAAGCGGATCCCGTTCTCGAAGACCTTCTACCCACACTATCTCACAAAGTGCCAAAAGTTATCGCCGGTGCCCTGGCGGCATTGACTGTGATCTACCATAACTTCGGGTGCAAGATTGTAGATCCGAAGCCCACTCTCAAAGCGCTGCCCAAGGCTTTCAGTCATGCGGACAAGAATGTCCGAGCAGAGGCACAAAATGTGACGGTTGAGTTATATCGATGGCTCCGTGAGGCAATCAAGCCTCTTTTCTGGGCCGACTTAAAACCTGTCCAGCAGCAGGATTTGGAGAAGCTCTTTGAGAAAGTCAAGGAAGAGCCAACGCCCAAACAAGAGCGATTCACTCGCGCCCAACAAGATGCGATGGCTGCGGCCAGTGCAGCTCCCGGTGGAGCCGATGGTGTTGATGAGGAGGGAGGCGAGGAGTTTGTCGAGGAGGAAGCAGAAGAAGTCGATGCTTTCGACCTTGCAGAGCCTGTCGACGTCATGCCTAAAGTTCCCAAGGATCTTCACGACCAACTCGGTTCATCGAAATGGAAAGATCGCAAGGAAGCCTTGGATGCTCTTTATAACGCCATCAACGTTCCCCGTATCAAGGACGGCCCCTATGACGATATTGTGAGGGCTCTGGCTAAGTGCATGAAGGACGCCAATATCGCAGTCGCCACAGTGGCAGGTAACTGTGTCGACCTCCTGGCCAAGGGTCTGCGCGAGGGATTTGCGAAGTACCGATCCACCATCATGGTTCCCATGCTGGAGCGCCTGAAAGAGAAGAAGGTGACAGTGGCGGAAGCTCTTGGTCAGGCCTTGGACTCCGTTTTCTCGTCAACTGATCTCTCGGAATGCCTGGAAGACATCCTGGAATATCTCAAGCACAAAAACCCGCAAGTCAAGCAAGAAACCCTCAAGTTCCTAATCCGCTGCCTTCGCACGACCAGAACTGTTCCGGCCAAGCCAGAGCAGAAGTCTATCGCCGACGCAGGTACCAAGCTACTCACAGAGTCGACAGAGGCCATTCGGTCAGGAGGTGCTGAGGTCTTGGGAACGCTAATGAAGATTCTTGGTGAACGAGCTATGAACCCATACCTCGACGGACTTGATGAAATTCGCAAAACCAAAGTCAAGGAGTACTTCGAGACTGCTGAAGTGAAGGCCAAGGAACGCCCCAAGCCCATCGTTGCTCCTCCCAAGCCTGCAGCTCCTGCGGGAAAGAAGGCTTTGCCGGGAAAGAAGCCTGCAGCAGGTCTGAAGAAGCCCGGTGCCACGGCTGCTGCGCCCGCCCAAGACCCTCCTGCTGCTAGACCCGCGGCTAAGGCGATCCCCTCGAAGCTCGGCGGTCTTTCTAAGCCTGGCCTGGCTGCACCTGGATCCAAGCTCCGAAGTAAGCTTGGTGGACCTGGTGGTGTGGCTTCTCCACAAAGGAGAGTCGCTGAGCCACCTGCGGAGGAGGCAGCACCAGCCCCAGCTCAACCCAAGTTTGGTCTTGGTCGTGGTCTTGCAGGTCGCCCTATTGCGAAGCCCGCGGCCCCTGTTGAGGCTGCCCCGGCTCCACCTCCCGCACCGGCTGGAATGACCGCAGCTGAGAAAGCGGAGATGGAGGAGCTTCGATCAGAGCGGGAAAAGCTCGCCCATACAATTGAGGACATGAAATCGGAGCGATCAAGCCTCAACTCTCAAATCACCGAGCTTCAGAATCAGAACGCACAGTTGATTGAGGATCACACAAGAGATGTATTGAGCATTAAGGCGAAGGAGACCCAATTAGTTCGGGCTCGCAGTGACGCCGAGGCTGCTGAGCAAAATGTCCAGAAGCAGCAGAGAGAGATTGAACGATTGAAGCGGGAGCTAGCACGCGCCCTCCGTGCGTCTGCATTGAGCCCACCCCACGGTGGATCGGACGCCGACAGCATGGGTATGTCAGAGGCCAATTCTCTCTACCAAGAACCTGCCAGCAATGGACATATAGCCGCAGCCCGGTCTGGGCTTCACCTGGGATCTCGCTTCGAAAGCGCACGACCTCGAAGTTATGCATCCAGCAACCCAAGCGAAGAGAAGGAAAACACTGGTCTTGAATCTCCAGGATTCGGCACCCGAGATAGTGGATTGGGCCGACGCAAGCTCAGCCCGACCTATGGCTACTCGGGTATCGGCAGTCCAACACGATCATCTACGCGGAACTCCACCAATCAAACCGACGAGGAGGGACAACCGCGGGCTGCTCAACCTGCCGAAAACTGGAAGCGAGCTGCTGAAGTTACCAGCCAACTCAAGGCCAGAATTGAACAAATGAAGGTGAGTTTCAATCAGTATCCCACGCCTAGAGGTTTAAAAGAGACATGGCTGACAATCAACACAGGCTAAACAAGGACTTTCACGACCCTCCGCTCAACGCTAATGACCGAATGACCGCGCTCATACTTACGCCTCCTTCCTCTCTTCCTCTTTCCGCCATACACTTCTTCTTTTCCTCCTTTTCTCTCTCTTTTCTTTGTGTGTCTTGAGACTGGGTTTTACTTCATGATGCTATCACGACTTTTGACCCATGGTGGGCATCTCTGGTCTTCTGGGAGCGCTGGGAGCGCTGGACTGGGCAATTTTGGCTTGTACTTTTTCTTCTTCTCTTTCTTCCTCCTCCTTTGCTGGTTGTCATGGATTGATTGCTTTGAGCTTGATCTATGTTCCTGTAATTTCATCATACCACCTCTTATTGGCCTTTTCAGCTCTTGCTTTTTGCTTTTTGCTTTGCCTGGATGGCTGGCTGGCTCTTTTCCCGGGGGGGTTTTCTCGTTAATAAAATGTCTGTCTGGGGCTTACTTGTGACCTACTGTTCTTGGGGCTCAGCATCACGTGCCCTTGGTTGAATGATAATGTATATCTACTTCGCTTTGCGCCATGGCATTTATCGGACTCTTGAGAGTAGATATCGATTGAGTAGGAGTAGAGAATTAATCTTTTATGTACATCACATGAAGCAGGGGGAAAGTAAGGTACCTAGTCCTTGGTCAAAGGGAAGTATCATGCCAAACCATACAACTCAGCAAAAGGATCGAAATCCGGATCCTCATGACGAGTATACTCATTGCCATCCGCGATCACCTTAGCCTTGTCTTTCCCAAAGAGTTCCTCAATCCAAGCCAAGGTAACATCAATACCGGCACTAACACCCGAGGAAGTCCAGATATTCCCATCCGTAACCCATCTCGCACGTGCAACCCACTTCACCTCTGGACCTAGCACTATGATGTCCTTCCAAGCCTTCTTATTCGTCGTCGCGCGTCTTCCATCCAGGACACCCGCTCGAGCCGCCAGTCCCGCACCGGTACATACTGTAATCAAATATTTGAGACTAGGGTAGGAGTCTCGGATAAATGCGATCGTCTCTAGGACGACGGGTGACGAGCCTCGTGAGCCCTGGCCTCCGGGGACGAGGAGGACGTCTAGGGCTGGTGCATTGGCGAAGGTGTGGGTTGGAACGATGCTTTGGCCGATTCCGGCTGGGTATGCGGGTGTCTTTGTGCTGACTGGATCTAGGGTTGAGGCCAGTACGGACAGAGTGATTGATTCAGTGCGTGAGAGGTCGTTTAGACAGTTTAGAGGCCCGAAGGCGTCTAGGGCTTCGAAGCCTGGGTAGAGAGCGACTCCGATGCGGAGGGCCTCGGGGTTGGAGCTGATGTTGGTTTCTATAGATGTATTAGTGTTTGTTCTTCACTAAAACCCATGGATAGTGTGTCTGTCTGTGCTCCGTGTCTCATACCTGTCATGGTTGAATCGAGTTGAGGTTAAAGTAGGAAAGGAGCTTGAAGGATAATATTCATTTATGGGATGGATGCCTCGGTGAGGAGCAGAGTCGAGCAGATTACTGTACTTTCGCTGCAGGCCAATGCGACGTGGTTGCGGGGCAATACTCGAAGTAGGCAAGGCTGCCGGTAATTAGGACTAGGCAAGACTGTACTATAGTAGGAAGTCTGCGGGAATAGCGGCTGACACTCGTGTTGAATGGGCCAGAAACACTCAATCTATTTAATTTGTCATCTGCACTAGTTAGTTAGTTAACTAATTAATGTTGTCTGGAGTCATGAGTCATGTACAAGTAATAGGTAGGATTATTGCGAAACTCAACATTTAGCAAAAGGCTCTCCCTCACAGTAGTACGCTCTGTCTTATAGGATGTAGTATATACCATACTAGGGTTAGAATCATAATGGGATACCTGAATCTAACCTTGGGCTGCAGAGTAACTAAATGGCTGCCAGACACGCTATGTTGCGGCCTCAGGCATTCAGGCATTCAGGCCGCGGTGCCGTCCGTCTGCGAACCACATCCATAGCTTCCATTATATGCACACTTTTCTGGAAGGCAGAGGTATTTCCCCTCTTTGCGGCCTTCTGGGATTAGCATATTTCTTATGTCATCCAACTATGGAATTTGGATTGTATCAAGTTTCAAGGTTAGAGGACAAGAAGTTAACTACTCCACATTCGGATGAGAAGAAGCATCAACCCCAAATGGCTAAATTCAATCTTGGAAGAATCTCAAGTGGCCAAATTCAAGGTATAGTAGCTCTACTATCGATAGCCAATCAATCGTTCTAATTAATGATCAAAAGAGCAATCCCACACTAAGTGATATCGCACTTCTCCGCACATCGGGGAGTGTCGGCCATAACAACATCGGGAGTGTCGGTCATGCTCATATGATAAATGTGACAACTTTCGTCTAAGATGGCTCAATATTAGATTTAAGGTCTTCAAGTACCACCTAAAACTCCCCAAGCAGCAAACCTGTACATCAACTCAGTTGGTCTTTTCTTTTTCATACTTAAAATGACAGCCTTTCTTCGTGTGGAAGGCACAAAGATTGTCTCAGAGGATGGCAAACCAGTTGTACTTCGTGGAGCTGCCAGTGGAGGTCACCTCAACATGGAAAATTTCATCACGGGTTATCCTGGGCACGAAACTCAGCATAAGGAAGCCATGCTGAAGGTCATGGGCCAGGAGAAGTATGACTTTTTCTGGGACCGATTCTATGACTATTTCTGGACCGACAAGGACTCGGAGTTTTTTGCTGCCTGTAATCTCAACTGTCTCCGCATTCCTTTTAACCATCGCCACTTTCTCGATGACAAGGATCTGACGAAAATCAATCCCAATGGGTTCAAGCTTCTTGACCGCATCGTGGAAAGCTGTGCCCGCTTCGGCATCTATACCGTTTTGGATCTCCACACTGTGCCCGGTGGACAGAACCAGGATTGGCATTCCGATAACCCAACCCATATCGCTCAGTTCTGGGACTATGGGCACTTCCAAGATACCATCATCAATCTCTGGAAACACATCGCAGCGCACTACAAAGAAAATTCTTGGGTGGCTGGATACAACCCTCTGAATGAGCCTGCGGACCCGAAACATACCCGACTCATCGACTTCTACACTCGGATTGAAAAGGAAATCCGATCTGTTGATGACAAGCACATTCTTTTCCTTGATGGAAACACATATGCCGCTGATTTCAACTACTTCCCTCAGAAGCCTTTCCCAAACTCGGTATATTCGATTCATGATTATTCGAAGTTTGGTTTCCCCATGTGTGAAGAGAAATACACCAGCACAGACGCACAAAAAGCCAGGCTCCATGCCTCGTACGAACGCAAGATTTCACACATGAAACAGGTCGGAGTGCCCGTATGGAACGGCGAATGGGGCCCAGTTTATTCGTCTACCATGCGCAACGACACCGATATTGAGGCGACCAATGCATCTCGCTACCTTGTGTTACGTGACCAGTTAGAAATATACAAAAAGGGAGACCCCTCGGGGGATAATGCTCCAATCTCATGGTCCATCTGGCTCTACAAGGACATTGGCTATCAGGGATTGACTTTTATCTCCCCAAACTCTAAGTGGTATCGTCACCTGCAGCCCTGGCTTACCAAGAAGAAATCCCTCGGGCTGGATCGATGGGGGCGCAACGCCGATCCTGAAATTGAAAAGATATATACAGCAGTGAAGGACCATTTCGACACAGCAATCCTCCCAAAACACAAAAAGGTACTATACCCGCCTACATGGGGAACGAGTGATTGGGTCGACCGTGTTCTTCGTGATGTTCTGCTGTCTGAGTACCTTGCATTGGAATTTGCAGAGTATTTTCGCGATTTATCTTTCGAGGAATTGGATGAGCTTGCAGGTTCATTCAAGTTTGAGAATGTGAAGCATCGAGATGAGCTGATCCACCATCTCAAAAATTGGATATAAAGTAGACTTTTGTTGTGGATAGCTGATGGTCAGCCACCCACCTAGTTGGTCTTTGTCTCAGATCTCTGACTCAGATAGCAGTTTCTTTCTCCAATCAACTTCATCACTCTGTTCATGATCATCTTCAGTATACTTCCTGCTTCTGCATTCTCCCACGAACAGTACTGAAATGGGCTGTTAGAATCCAATAATGTAGTAATGCGGGGTGCCCAAACTTATAATGCACCTCTTTACTGATCGCCTGATAATTCTCCGATAGCACCCATTGGGTGAGAGTCATCGCCCAGGTGGTATTATCCCAAGCTTCATTGTTTATCAACTGCATATGCTCCAAATGATGAATAACTAGACCAAATCGCTAGTTCTTCTTTGTGGCAAATCGACTCCTAAATCACCACGAGAACTAGACGTTTCTGGAATGCTGGAAAGAATTGAAGTCATAAATTCTCGCCATGTCAAAAGCTGAGGCATGTCATCTTCCCAAAATTCCAGCAATCCAGTGGTGTCCGCTACGCTTTCCCGCCAGCCCGATGGCATCGGTAGCCCTGTGAGGGCAGCGGCTAGGAGTACAATCGCACCTCGTGTGCAAGACATTATCAAAAAGAATGTACCATGGTGTCGATATCGGAATCCTGGATAGTTGACCTTGATCCGCTGGATCTGTATATCAAGACACTTGGCTGCAAAATTGCTGACAACTACTCGGAGTGACTCTTGGGCTACAGGCGAGGAAGGTTGAAATTGGCCGATACCACCAATTTGGCCCTCCCCAGGAACAGCCAGAGAAGCATCAGGAGGAATTTCTCCTTGTCTAACAGAGGCCAAGTTTGGTTGCGACAAGGGCGACTGGGATGAGTAGGTTGATGGGGTGGAGGCGGAGCAATTCAGTAGAGTTTCAAGAAAAGGCCAGTAGATCGTTTCGCAGTAATCGATGTAATGTCCCCGAAGAACAAAGCGACATATATCGTCGCTTTCGGGAGGCGATTCTAGCGATAACTCTGCAGGTAATCCCGCTGCCCATTGGCAACCCTGTTGTTCATACTCAACAACCAGGGTAGCAAGTGAGGTCAGAAAAGTGGCACTGTCTCCCTTAGAGTGTTGCAGGGATAAAATCTCATCGCACATGCTGCTCAGAAGTCGCCGCAGAGAAATCTCGGCGAGGTAGAATAACCATGATGCGCGCTCCCGTCCTTCATCGTTCGAGTTATTTGAAACAATAAAAGGTGGGGTTGGAAAGAGTGGTGGGTAAATATGGGAATTATCTCCAGTTGCAGGAAAATCCGGTAAACATAAGCACCTGCGCAGTTCTCGCTCCGATTTCCAGGCAGTCCAGTATACAGCTTGTTCTTGTGAATCTTTCTCCGTCACTTGTTTTTGACCCTCTGTGTCATTGTTTAATTGCGTCTCTTCAGCACTATACATATCCCGCAAGAAGTCGAACTGTTGGCAGGTAGCTAGGGCCTGGACAAAGAATCTCCAGGCCATGAAAGGGCGGAACACGCACATCATATAGAAACCCGAAAGAAGCAGACATTGCGGGGCAATCAAATGATCGCCCTCATTGTCAGCAAACAGGGCTCCCATGCGACGTTGAGCCTCTTGAAACAGGGTTTCTGCTTCGACATAAACAGCTTTACCAGGCCCCGTATCGAGCTCCCGAATATTTGGGGTCTCACCAAATGGTGTTGCGAGGTGTCCTAGAGCACACACAAGAAATGCCAGGCAGGATTGTGCTGATCCATCTATATTTCCGACAGATTTCGATAAAATAAGGTGACGCGTGGGGGCCTCCTTTAGGATTGGATTTTTGCATTGCACCAACTTGAAGAAGCGGTCCAATAGCTCATCAACGCCACCACATGAATTTACCATGCCATCTAGAATTCCCCCACCGGGGGCTCTCTCAATAGGGGAGCTATGTGATTTGTGCTGTCGCTTTTCGGTCCACCACCTCTCATGCAAGCCATTATTAACCAGAAGGCTGCCGCCCAGTCGGTCGTTCAGAAAAACAGGGAGGCGCAACAGCAACGCTGGCGACGTAGGTAGAACGTTGAGAGGCGAGGTATTGGCTCCATATCCCGAAGGAGTCAAAGTACGCTGGCTGGAATGGGAAGAAACAAATTCGTTGCTTTTCGTGTTGTCCAGCGATGATCTGGCCCGGCCAGAACCCGATGGGTGCTGTGCCGAGGGGCCTGTGGAGGGACTTGCAACATGCCCTTCGTACTGTAACAAGGAATATGGCTGTTGCTGTTGCTGTTGTGTCGATTGTGCTGATTGTTGACGAACTAGCTTTTCGAGGACATCTAGGCGCTCGATGATCTTTAGGCTGGCCGGGTCAAAGCTAGACAGATCCTCTGTTGACTGGGTGCAGATGGCGCCAACACTTAGGCAATACGAGCAGCTCGGCTTTCGATTATCGCACTTCGTCTTCCTCGCACGGCACACTTGGCATGCTACATTCGCCCGCTTCCGCGGATAGAAAGTGCCTCCTCGGGCTGCTGGTCGTTTCCGTTTGCTCGACGATCCCTGGTCTTCCATGATCTCCCTCCTGGCACCCAACCGGATAGACCCCTCGAACAGGCTGATATGATTGCCTGGTTTCAGCTTGGGTCAGGTTCCCTGGTGAGAATCATTCAAGTGCGCGATTAAAGGTGTGGGGGAGAAGAGGCGCGGGCCGGGGCTGTTGTCGGGGAGTGTCGGACTTTATGGGCTGGGGTTGCGGAACAGGAACCGCCAGGGCAACAAGGTTAGGCGTAGTATGGGATCATGTGCCTCGACCACGCCACCAAAACCATAAAACAGCCATTCTCAACAAGAATAATAGTTACTATCGCTAGTGACTAGTACTACTAAGTTGTCCTAGTATCTGGGGAAGGTTCCACTTCGATCTACCCCGGGGCCGAGAGGTCCGAGTCTGTTTGACATGCACCAGTATCTTCTTCCAGGTGAAACCCCACAGCACCCCGGACTGAGGAATTTTGGGAGACATGCCATATTATCGGCTAACCTTACCCCCAGCACGGCAAGCAAGATGTCAATGGATACTATTCAGCCTAATTGCCCCAGGAAAGAGGTCAGAGGCCTAACTTCAAAACCTTGGCGTCTCCGATCACAGGCTGCTCTTCTGGATCATCTGGAGTATAAATCCAAGTCTATGGTGTGGTATGGTGACAGACTAGATACCAATTCACGACTACGGGATTCTCGCTATAAGTACAGGCATACTATCTTACTTACGACTTTTCATCCCCAATCTATTTGAATTCCTTAATGTTCTGATTGTTTTTCACTGGCCTTTAACTCCAACTATGTCCAACCCTGCCAGATCTCTCGAGGAGGTAAACAGCGATAAATTGGAGGATGCCACGGCTACAGCAATCGAAGATGTGACTTCCTATACAGATAGGGCAAGGAATCAGGGAGGAGAGCATGAACTAAACCTACGGAAGATCCTTCGTCATCATCCAGCCTTGGTGTGGTGGTCCTTCTACTGGGCTATGACCGGCGTGGCCTGGTGAATTTGACCCTCCTTGTCATTCTTGAAGATTATCCAATTAACCTAGATCCAGGGGCTTCGACGCCCAGATAAACGGAGCCGTCATTTCCGTGCCTTCGTTTCGCCTTGCTTTCGGGTATGCTGGTCCTTTGATTCCTATTTCCCAGGGTTCTCTATATTAACCGGCGAGCATGAAAAACTACTTCCCACCCTGCACGAACTTATCAGAACTGTTTGGATACTAACACGGGTCGATAGATATGAGAGCCATGGTGAAGTGATCCTGCCAGCTCGGTGGCAGACAGCCTTCAACACCGTTGGTAGCGTGGGCCAGTTCTTCAGCTGCTTCATTTGCTCGATACTGAGCGATCGTCTGGGGCGCAAGGGAGCTCTCCTTGTGGGCCTCGTCATATTGACCGGAGGTATCCTAGGTGAAATGTTTGTTAGTGTACCTGGGGGGTTTGTGGCCGTGAAACTCATTCTTGGCTTCGGTCTGGGTTTCCTTCTTACTTTAGGCCCGCTCGCAACATCAGAAATCTCACCGGTAGTCCTGCGTGGTGTTACCACGGCCGGTGTGAACTTGGGTATCGCTATTGGACAGCTCATATCCAGCGGTGTCATCAAAGCATTTGGTTTACGTACCGATGATTGGGCATTCCGCGGCCCCTTTGCTGTACAGCTCTTTTTTGTGGTGTTTTTGCTCGCTGGTCTGCCTTTTGCCCCAGAGTCCCCATGGTATCTCGTGCGCAAGGGCCGAAGACAAGACGCAACCCGATCAATGCAACGGCTTTACGGACCTGAGGTTGATGTGGAGGTCATGCTAGACGCTATTGAGCATACGATTACCGAGGAACGTGAAACGTCACCAGAGAATGAGGTGTCGTGGAAACAATGCTTCCGTGGCACCGACCTTCTCCGCACAATGATCAGTATGGGCGTTTTTGTGTGTCAACACTTTGCCGGCATCATCTTCGTTCTTGGCTATTCGACCTACTTTTTTGAACTAGCCGGCCTCCCAAACTCACAGAGCTTCGATTTGGGCGTTGGTGTAACCGCTTGCGGCGTCCTTGGGAATATAATGAGCTGGTTCATCGTCAATTCAGTCGGCCGACGCAAGATTTTCCTCACTGGCCTTGTGTCCCTATTTGTAATCCTTATACTTATCGGTATTATGGATGTTGTGCCAACCTCTGCAGCAAAATGGGTCCAGTCTGCAGTTACCGTCATCTACAACTTCATATATTTCGCCACTCTTGGGTCTATGGCTTTCACTATCCTCGGTGAGACGAGTAGTGCTGCGCTGCGCGCTCGAACAACTGGCCTTGCTACTGCCACTCAGGCTATCATGGGTATCATCATGAATTTCGCTTGTCCATATATGGTCAACCCCGACGAGGGCAATCTAAAAGGCAAGGTGGGATTTGTTTTTGGGGGTCTTTGTGTCTTTGCGGCCGTTTGGAGCTTCTTTTACGTTCCTGAGCTCAAGGGTCGATCTGTTGACGAGATCGATCGATTATTCGCTCTTCGTATTAAGCCACGCCGAATGGGATCTTATAGGCTCACATGATTTCAGTATCTGGATTTTCTCACCGCGAGTGAACATTGATTACTGTCTGTGTTCCCTTTTTTCTCGGGTTTAAGTGATAGTTAGTGAACAGCCATTTCATACTACCGGTCTCTGAATCAATGACATCTGGAAGAAGGAAGAAAGTTCACAATCCAACCAACGAGCTGACTAGTTCTTCGATTATAAATAGCCATCTATGGCCCATGGGCCCTTGCCTGCTTTCAAGTCCAGCGAAAATCCCAGCTGCTAGGAGACTTGAGAAAGCGATGGCTAGAACCAGCCCTGGATATAAAACAGCATATCGAAGTGCTACCTCCGCTTTTGTAAACCAGCATGAAAGCGGTTAAAACACCCCTGGTAAATGTAAATATGGCACTAGACATATTCCAAGGAGAAAGCAGAAAGCATTTAAGCCTGGAATCCTTTTTGACGGCAGATGTTGCAACGGAAAGACATGACCAAAGACTAGTTAGTAGTACATTATAACTACTATTTAGTGTTGGTAGGTCCAAAGCACCAGAGATTTCCCACCCACAATTAACCCTACTTCGAGAATTGATCTCCGAAAATCGGGGTTTTACTTGCTACAAAAAAAAGTCTACGATTGGATAAAAGCAGAGTAGAGTACATGAATTTCCATTCTCATCGACAGTTACTACACAAGATATTTTGAAGTGTGAGAAATGAATTCATGGGTATCTGCAGGAAAAGTGGTACATAAGGGCCGTTTGTGGAGTTCGTAAGAGAAAAATTATTTTCTTTTTTTGTTAGAATGGGATCCCAAGGGCCACCGGGCTTCTTTTCCCACCCATCTAAAGCTAAAAAAGAATTTGGCCGTCAATAAGTCATCCGGAGCCTTAACACCCTTGAAATTCGCCCATTAGAACTTTTGTTCCAGGAATACGCTTGGTAGACGCGATCCCGTCAATCAACAATCCAAGTTTTTACACGAATGGAAAAACTTAGACCTTGATGGCGGACTCGATAGCCTTGCGCTTCTTGTCCTGGCGGGCGTTGGCCTTGGCGCCCATGATACCACCACCCCAGTGGCGGCGGGACTCCTCGTACTTGTCGGTGTAGCCCTCCTTGATGGCGGACAGGAGCTTGGAGAACTCAGCCTTGTCCTCAGCGCGGGTCTCGGTGAGAGCGAGAACAGCGGAGGTCTTCTTGTGGACGACCGTACCGAGACGGGCCTTGCCCTTGACAATGGCGTAGGGGACACCCATCTTGCGGCAGAGAGCGGGCAGGAAAACAACCAGCTCAATGGGGTCAACATCGTGGGCGATGAGGACGAGGGAAGCCTTCTTGTTCTCGACCAGGCCGACGACGTGGTTGAGACCGTACTTGACGTGGTAGGGCTTCTTGGAGACATCCTCCTTCTTCTTGCCCTCGGAGACGGCGGTAGCCTCCTGGACGAGACGCTCCTTCTTCTCGGCCTTGGTCTCAGGGCGGTACTTGGAGAGGAGCTTGAAGGTCTGGGCAGCGGTGTTGCGGTCCAGGGTGTTCTGGAACTGGGCCAGGGAAGGGGGGACCTTCAGGCGCATGTTCAGAATCTTCTTCTGGCGCTGCAGACGGACATACTCGGGCCACTTGACGAAGCGGGACAGGTTGCGCTTGGGCTGGATGTCCTGGCCGATGCCGAAGTTGCGGGAACGCTTCTCGATGAGAGGGTTCTGAGGGGCGGCGAACCGGTTAGCAAAATCATCTTCGTTTTCTCGGATTGCCTCCATTGGGAAAGAAAGAAACGAACCTTAGCGGCCTTCTTGGACGAGCCAGCCTTGCCCTGGGGGTAGGGCATGGCGGCGGTCTTCTTTCCGGACTTGGGAGGCTATCATTGAGAAAAGAAGATCAGCGAATGTCCACGACGGGCTGCATCTTCTTTGAACTCTAAGGAGAGCGACGAGTTAAGCCGTGTTACGGGCTCATCTCGTGCTTCCAGCCAAAATCATCGTCAAAGCCACACATCTCTTTCGAGGCTGTGGGCAATAGACGGAATTGCTTCGATCTTTCAATCGGAAGTCAAGGCGAATTGTTCTACGGCATCGCTGCAGCTGGCGAGCCTTTTCGAAAAGGCAATCAAATGCTTACCACCATTGTTGTCGACTGGGATTGCTGGTTGACGGTTGACGGGATGAAGAAGAGAATAAAATGCTGGCGGTTAGCCTTAATGAATTTCTCGTGGGTCGCGCTAGCGTGAGCATGTGACCAGGGTTAGGGCAAGCGCGTTAGGGCATATCCGTTCTAGCACGTGAATACACGTGACCTCTACTGTGGGTTGCGCCGGCCAATCATCCGGCCCGGCCGAGATCTGTACTACGATTGCTACCGTAATTAAGGCATATGTAGAATTCATATATCTTAACAATAACAACTTTCATTTATTTCAATTTTCGTGTGGTAATAATACTCAGTCAATATAACAATGTACACTCTTTCCGGAGCGGTTTAATTAATTCTTTCAAGTTATTAACTATGATACCTGAAATTTGAACTTCGATTGCAGTGCATTTTCGCCATATACTTACACTACAACTGATCTACAGTTAGATATATCGGCAACAAATATCAGCAGCAAACTTTAAATTAAATAGAGCAGCAACCTTGGAAGGAAGATATCATTGGATACTGCGCAAACATTGTAACCCAACTGAAAAGTACTAGTATACATTCGTCCATGAAGACCGGCGACATGAGCAAAGTATACTAGTACTTGAAATCTATGTAAAACCAACGCTAAGAAACCCTATGCAATCGATCATTCATCCTTCTTAAATACAGACAGAATCATCGCCAAGCACCCAGTCCCGGCAGCGCTCCACGCCCAAGACTCGTACTCGCCGCCTGAACAGCCCTCCTCTTGCCCGTAGTACCCTCTTGACTACGTACACCAGCAATGATCTTCTCGGTATTAGTCTCGACAACGACGCCGCCGACAATCATCTCGCTCAACACCGCGTGCATGGTCTCATAGCCGAAGATCAGGTCTAACTCGCAGACATTCTCGAACATGCGGTCCAGTGATTCGACGAAGACTTGGATTAGATCGATTAGGGCGAGCGGGGACTCTGTTGAGGTGGAGATCATGATGAATGAGAGCGTGGCATAGGTGCGGTAGGTGATTTGGGTGGGGGCATCGGAGGGCCCGGCCGAGGAGGAGTTGGATGAGCCTTGTCGGGAGAGGAGCGGGGGGAGGGGGAGGAAGTTGCAGGCGCTTGCGGGTCTTTGCGCGACGAGGTGGTATATTTGGGCGATTAGTGATTGCTGGGTTTGTGTGTCCTGAGGGTGGAGTGCTGGTTAGCTGTTGGGGGTCTAGGTCGTCATCGGAGCTGCGCAACTCACCAACTGAGTGTAGAACTTGGTCAGGCGTGGCTGGCCATTGTTGTTGAAGACGAGTACTGCATTAATCATCTTGTAGAATGTGCCTTGGCTAAATAGGCAGCGCAGCAGAGGTGAGTGGACCGAACGTGGTTGGGGTTGAAGTTGAAGTCCAAGCTGGAAGCGCGGCGGGCTACATTGAGGAGTCCCAGTCCCGCGGACCAGCGCTATCGATAAGCAGTGGCTGGCCCGTGCCCGGATTTTCTGGAGAATCCAAACTGCATTTACACCTGGCCGCGTCGCTCAATCACATCCGATCCTCAAAGATGAGGAAATCCATATTCAGGGCCTCCAGGGCTGTAAATCGACTCTATTCAACAATAAGACATGCTGAACCCGCTCAAACGTCACCGAAACCTCCCTCCAACCCAAACAAACGCAACCTTGAAGACCTCACGCCGTCCGACCTTTGCTACTACTGGGACACCAAAGCACCCAATACCGACCAGCTAGCTTTCGCAGACAAAATATTCATTCCATCGCGCCACTCGCCTATAAAACTATGGTCTGCCAGCAAGTTTCGCACAACGCCTCTCTCTTCGATCGAGCCGGAAGTCGCATTCCTGGGTCGGTCGAATGTCGGGAAAAGCTCTTTGTTAAATGCGATCATGGGCCAAGAAATTTGTTGGACGTCATCGAAACCAGGCCGGACGAGAGAAATGAATGCGTTCGGAATTGGAGGAACGAAAGGCGGCGAGTCGAAAGTTGTCCTGCTCGATATGCCGGGATACGGCAAAGCCAGTCGAGCTGAATGGGGCATGGAAATCATGAAATACCTCCAGGGCCGAAAACAGTTCGTTTTGTCCCTTTACCCATGAACACCTAGAACCTGGCTCCCGATTAATATCGACTAATAAAACCTCCAGGCTCCGTCGCGCCTTCATCCTCATCGATAGCGAACACGGCATCAAACAAAAGGATGCCGATATCCTCGGCTTGTTCCGCCGCTACGCCATCCCCCACCAAATCATTCTCTCGAAAATAGATAAAGTCATCACGAGGACGAAGAAACAGGCCAAGACCGGCGTTTCGGATGTCGGTATCCAGCGACTCCAGTGCATGTTAAAGGACATGAAACCCGTTATTCAGCCCGATCCATATACCTCAGGAGGCCCGGGTGCATTGGGTGAGATTTTGACTTGTAGTGCGGACGTTTCTGTCGGTCCTGGTCAGGCACTAGGCGTTGACGCTATACGCTGGTCTATTTTATCTGCGGCTGGTATTGATGGCAGTTTAGAAGGTGGACGTCTGGCTCGGTTGTGAGGTGTTGAGGTGTGGGCTTGGAAACCTAGATACATGGACCTGTATACATACATATTACCAATTTAATGAACATAATGCGCTGGCCCGCAAGAAGTCATCTTCTGTCTCATTGATCTTGTTTGAAAATACCAGTATGTTTAAATGCGTGGGTAGCGATCGATCCCCAATGCTTTTAGGAACAAAGGGCCAGCGGTTCCAGACCACCCTGGGAATCTTTGAAGTCCAGCCCGAAGGCTCTGGGAAACTCGACGAGGCAAATGACTACTGCAAAGCCAAGTCTACGAGCGTAAGGTGGAAATTTAATTAGAATGCAATGTATCTATTACCACTTAAGAAAGACAGGACAAAGAAGATGCGAATATCAACGCAGGCCCGCCTCAAAACACCAGAAGTCAGGGTTACCGAAGACAACTTCAGATAGAAGGAAAGGGAGTGAGATAATTGCAATACAATGACAAAGAAAATGAATCACGGTGGTGATATGCATAAGGAGGGTTTTTGACATGACCGAGTAATGAAAATAAGAAACCCCCAAGAATCAGAAAACGTCTAACGCCTATCCTCCATCGTAATGCTGGATGATCGAAGAATGCCGACCGCGCTATGCAAAGGGTTTGAGAAGGGGAGACAAGTGCCATAAGGATGGGTATCGTGAATGAGTAAGAGTGTCAAGAAGTCCAAGAGCCGGGGAATATGATAATATGGGAATATGGGAATGTGATGATAGGGGAATATGAGAGGGAATAGATGATGGGGAGGGGGAGGGGGAGAAGAAGGGGAGAGGAAGAGAACCAAAGGAACGCGACATTCCGGTCGTGGGATGACACCGATTTGAATCAATCCGATTCGGAGTCGGAGTCGATGCTGGTGGGAGCAATTTCTCGTCCGCGGCGGTTCACTGCTACCCGCTTGCCGAGTTTGTCCTCGGGCACGCCATCTCGAGAAGCACCGAAGTCAAGAACCTATGAGTATGTTAGAACAAGTTGAGGCTATATCAAATGAGTTGGTAACTTACCTCGATGTAGGTCAGGCTATCTCGTTGAACAGCAGCAACACATCGTCGGTCGTTGAATTTGACTTGCCAAACACCGCTTAGATCGGTTAGGAGATCTCGAACGCAAGCACCAGTGCCGACATCCCACATCTTCAAAGTGCGATCTGATCCAGAGATGACCTTTTGTCCGTCATGCTGGAAACATGTGATCGCCCCAGTGTGCGCGCTTAGCATGCTCTTGCAGTGGCCGTGTTCGGGGTCCCAAATCCGGAGTGTGGAGTCGGCGGCGGCCGAGACGAGGTGGTCATTTTGTAAAGCAAGAAGACCGACGAGAGAGGTGTGGCCTTCAAGATTGTAGAGCAGAGAGCCATCATCCAGGGACCACACCTTGACCATGTGGTCCATCGCACCACTGATGCAGCGGTTTCGCTTTGGATCTAGCACCACGCTGTAAACCTTCATTGAGTGGCCTTGCAATGTATACAAAACTTGTCCAGTGGAAATCTTCCACACTCTGACGGTACAATCGTAACTTCCGCTGACCAAAGTATCACCATGGGCTGCGATTGCTCGAACGGAGTGGGTGTGACCAGAGAGCACGCGGAGGAAGTAAGGGCAATCGGTGTCGTCCAGAACCGGCCCACTCGGGTAGTAGGACGGATCACCTTGTTTGGGAAGCTTCCACACTCGCAAGTTCGAATCACGAGATCCAGTAATGATCAATGGGGTTTTGGGCATGATTTCAGGCTCGCCGTTCGCATCTTTACCTATCTCGGTGGGGAGGACAATCTGAAGGCAACGCACGGTCGAGGTGTGGCCATGGAAAACCTGAGTGCATCGAGCATGCTCGATGTCCCAAACTCGCACAGAACGATCTGTGGACCCGGAGACCAAGGTATTGCCGTGATACTCGAGTGCCCAAACACCACCTTCATGGCCCTCGAGAGTGGCCTTCAGAGCTCCAGTCTTGGTATCGTACACATTAATGTTCGTATCATCGCTGCCTGTGAGAATCTTGTCCGTATCAAACTGCAAGCAAGTAACAACGTGACGATCGTGGGCACGGAAGGCAATGTGTTGAGGCTTGACAGCCGGTTTCATCCAACCTCTGCGGATAGCATGGTGCCGACGGTATAGGGCTTTGTAGAGATACAAGCCTCGGAGCGCCGGAAGACCAACTTCGGGGTACGGGATGGCAGCCGCGGCAGCGTTTGCTGCAGCATAAGGAGCCTCGGAGGAAGCAATCTCTCTCTTCCAGTCTGGCTCGGAATGATCCGTTCCACTGGAAGAAATTTTTCGCTTCGACAACTTCCGACTCGACGCGCGGGTATTGGCTTTCCGCTTGGGTCGTCTGTTTAGCGCCAGAGATGACAGAGGCGCTCTATCAACAGCAGTCGACGAAGAAGCGACCGGGGACATCTCCTGCTCCCCCTTGGAGGAGGTCGGGAGACTGAGGTCTCTTTCAAAATCATCCGGACTGCTGCACTGCCATCCCCATCCTTCACGAATAGCTCGCTCTAGCTCGCCTTCCGAAAGAACAAAGCCATCTTGGTCTAGAAGTTCCTTCCAAGTCTTTTCATCGGAATTGATGATATGGCGCCATCTCTTGGAGACCTGGGCGGCACGACACATTGTCTGTACATCAAAGTACTTTACAATGTTCAGGCTGAGCTCCAGGGGAAGGAGAGCGAGGAAGTCGCATTTGAGGGTTGGATTCACCACATCGGCCACGAAGTGGAGCGTGGGCTTAGGGCAACGTCGAAGAAATTGATACATCATATATGTTTTCAGCTCTTCGGGCACGGTGTCAAAGAATTCCAACACCTTGGGCATATCCATGAGAGATGACGGAGACCGAGACGAGAACATCGAAGGGTCGTTAGAATAAGAATCGTTTCCAGAAAGACGCATCGCTTTCGTCTGGCGGGGGATATTGTGATCTAGGCTCGAATCCGTATCTTCAGAATCGAAGGATGATTCTCCATGCAGAGCGTTCATAGCGGTAACCGGTGACAGACTTGGACTGGGCAAGCACATATCTTGAGCCATCGCACTATCGATCGCCGATAGCTGTGATGGGGGTTCCGATCTCCGCTGAGAGGTGTCCCCAGAAGAGCCACCGAAAGAGTGCTGTTCAAAGGGAGACGGCTCGGGTACATGATTCCCACTAGTATCGGCCTGAGTTGACGGTACTGAAGTTAGACTGGGGCGTTGCAAAGTACTCGAGGGCCCAGCATCGGCGGAGAGGGGAGACTTCAACAGCGTTTCTTTCCTAGGGATGGTCACGCTATGCATCCTTTGTCTCGGGGCCGGGCCTTCCTCGAGACTTCCAGGGTTGTGTTCAGCATCCGGGGTGGCCAGACCAGCCGGTGAAAGATGAGTCGCGGCACTATGACGAGTGCGCCGTGCCACAGGTTCGGAAAGATTTCGAGGTGCGCGGGTACGAGGCAAAATCGCCGGGCGGGGATCGGGAATAGAGACGGGAGAGACGGGTCGATTTTGGGAGTTAGGCTGACGAAGCCGAGTCACGGATCTTGGAGGAGCGAGGCGTCGCGGTACACCATTGTCTTCGGAGCTGAAGGAGTTGATTGAGCGGATCAGGCCGTTGGAGGTTTGTAGGGCCTCATTCTTTTCTCTCAACTAGAATGATTGTGAGTACAAAGCGGGGAGTGAGGGATAGGAGGAAAGGGAAAAGAGAGATGTCTATAGAGAAGGGGAAAGACGTACTTCGGTAGCAGTCGCGTTGGTATCTTCTGGCTCGTTGAATACAATGGACTGATCGCCGATCTTGAACCTGAGGTTTCTCAAAGCGGCCGGGGTAGGTGAGGCGGCGAGGGGGTATTGCCGGGTATCCAGATCCTTGGTGGCGCGTGGCGGTCGGAAAATGAGAGGAGGAAATGCAGTGGTGGTTGTGGTGGTGGTGGTCACGACGGTGGTGCGGGTGGTTGGGGCGAAAGAGAACTGGCCGAGGGCGCTGTTTGATGGGGCCTGGCCGATATCATCTTTCTCGTGTTCGTCCATATCGCGAGGCCGAGGGGAAATCAAACGAGACTCAGGACGGCGGGCGGCATGGGGAGAGGTGAGAGTAGAGGTAGATGAAGCAGTTGAGTCCAAAGACAGGTTGAGATCGGAGTCGAAGGGGCGGAGAGGACGGGGGGCGTCCGAGGACGAAGACATCACTGAGCTTCTTTTCAAGTGGGGGGAGTGGATTGGAACCTTGGAAATGGCCACCACAAGAATGGGAATGGGTACGAGAGTACTACTCGTAGTGGTGTTAGCACAGCGGCCCGTCAGCACGGTACACGTTCGCCTGCGAAACCATTTACAAAAAAAAAAGAAGATGGAAACGACCGAACGGATCAGAGCATGGCGAGGGGGGGGGAGTTGAGAATGGGAGAAAACAAATGCAAGATCAAAGACCAACAAAGACTCAAGACGCAAGGAAGAAAGGGAAGGAGAAGAAACAAAAAGAGAAACAGAGTGGCGGCTGACAAGGGTGATTGGTGTAGGTGGAGTGCCGTACAGTATTACTAGTACAAGTACAGTACTAGCAGTCACATACTGGGCGAAAGCGGAGAACAATTATCCGTGAGGACATACAGCATACTGTATACTGTATACTGTATACTGTATACTGTATGCCTCTGTAGCAGAGTACTATCGAGATTGATGGTATACTACTAGTATATTGACTATATTCCTATTATATTGTATTGTATGTATTCTATAGATCTCTGTATCTCCAACTAGCTTAGCCCTTGGTAGCCCACTGGCACTGGGCACCTTCACCATGTAGCCTACATCCACTGTTCCGTCCAAGGTTTGTGCTCGTAGCCAGAGTCTGAGTCTGAGTCTGAGTCTGAGCCTGAGCCTGTTTCAAGGTTCCTGGTTCACTGCGTAAATATGTCAGTGGCACACTACACACTACACAGACTTGGATGTGCCAGGTGCCAGTGCAGCCACCACTTCAGCAGAAACCGGTTTGCCGCAAATGTGGAGAGGAGATCAATTCAAGTTCTGGGCCCAACTCGCCACCCGTCACGTGGTGTCAACATTGCCATCGAGAGTAGTGGCAGTATAGTGTATACTATCTAGTATACTATGTAGTAGTAGATGAAAGTTCAAGTTCAGTTCTGATATCCATGGATGAGTGCCTACTACCACACCACCACCACCACCACCATATATATCATGTACACATCTGGGCAGTACACCTTGGGCATGCCAGGGACAATGACTCCGTATTGCATCCTGCATAAGTGCATCCAGGGATGCCAGGTAGTAACCAACATGACTCGATGTTTATCCAAATCTCCGCTTCAAGGGATGGCTCCTGGCTCCGCTGTACCTTGTACGTCACCTGCAGGTACCCCCAGCCCGCAGCCCGCAGCGCCTCGTGCTGGTCCCCCACTGCTCTGCAGCAGCCCTGAAGGGCTGCTCAGTGGACCCAATAGATTAGTAGTATACATAGTAGATCTAATAGTCCAGGGCTCACTGTGAATAACATATTCCCTAATTACTAGTAGTTACTACTACTACTAGGTGACAACTGGAACTGCCTCAGATGATTGCATTGGTCAACTGCCAGTGCTGACGGGCACTCTGGCCACATCAACTGGTGTCCCTCCCCCACACCTTCCTCTTTCCTTACATAGTACTACTAGTATCTCTCCCACTCCACCCCCCGACCGATCACTCACAACCCTGCAGGAAATTATTATTCGGTTCAATTCAATGAATGCTCCTCGGAAACTGGAAATTCCATCCAGACCCCGGACGGAGGTGATGCTCAACGCTCTCCAACAGGAAGTACGCGTCAGCTCGGGAACAAAAAACCGAAGACCAGTTATACCTATATTGACATGACATAGGTTCAAAGCCTGGAATTAATGAAAATTGTTCTGCACGTCACGGTCCATACCCCGTTCCCGATTCAACAACGGACACAGCTAACACGCAGACTAGCTTGCTGGGATCTTCTTCAAGCGGTCGGTCTTTTCCTGCTAACCCCCCGAGTCAAGTGAAAATGCCAATGAGCGCTGCTATACAGTGGTCTCCTGCCGCTAGTCACGTTTGGTGAACGAAGTCTTTCCATTCCGAGAGCCCCCAACCGAGAGGGCTCCCATGTTCGCACCTATGATGAGTTCATCAGTGGTGAAAATAGTCAGGTCGACGGCCCTACCTTCCAAGCCAAGATCATGGAGAGAGGAATCGATTCTCAAACGGACCGTGTACTCGATATTCTTGTAGGATCTTCCTCTCACCGTGGAAGTGGTTATACTGACAACCTGACTACTGGACAGGAAGGAAGTGTCTTCGAGGTCCTCGTTCGACGTCGCCTCCAGGCCGTGAAATTCACCGTCGTCAAAAAAACAGAACTACCGATCGAAATCTTTGAGGCTTATACCATTTCGTTCGCGTACCACAGCGAGCACAGCAAGCAAAATAGCGAAAATCACGACGTGGCGAACACGAATCCCGGCTCCAATACCGGGAAAGAAAAGGAAAGCAATGCCCTCACAAACGCTGGCTCTGCCGTGGATATGGTAAAAGGGATCCAGCAAATGGATCGCTTACTAATTCCCCTCACGTCAACCTTCACCAAGCTACCGAACGCTCGAGCCTTGGGGGTTTTCTTATTGTATACCGACGATTGTCCTGAAGGATATCAGGCGCCCGATTTCGTCGACGCGGGCGATCTTGTGTTTAAATTCGCGAACGAGGAGGATCAGGCGGTACGGAAACTGAGCTGTGGAGGAATCAGTACAGGTCATCATTCGTATGTGCATATGCCCCCGCCTCTCTGTTCATACTGATAGATGTTACATAGTGCGCACCTCAAAGTGACCTATCTCAACCCTGTTTCGACTTCGTGTCGTACCAGTCAAGCTCACCTGTCCCCCAGGTCGGTACGCGTGACGCGTGAGGAGGCCGAAGCGATTTTTATTCCCTCGTTCCAGTTGCACGTCGAACGTGATGAATGATACTATACCTCATGATGCCAGTTGGTCAACTGCGAAGGAATCTTCGCCATTAGCTCGGCGAGAAGAGATTCAGAAATGCATAGCTCCTGTCTCGATGATAGTATGCAAAGCACTATTCCACGGAATGTTAACTTCTTCTCAAAGATGAAGACGTGTGTCGACTAATTATCAGTTCAGATTGGACAGAAAGGGGTACCAGAGGTCTCAATGAGAGAATGGCCAAGTGTGATAAGAGCGCCTCGGGGATAGGACGAGATGCTCGGATTTCATAGCAATAGGGAGCGCTCAGTAGGCGGCCCAGGGGAGTTGGTAGAAACACAGTTTTTCTAGTCAACCGCCTCCAGTTGGCTTGACCCTACAGTAGTTCCGCATTCTTCAGGGTTTACTCAGACGCCGAGAAGGGAATGATGGCGAGAGTTATAGTTATGCTTTATTGACTCCACTTTGTACCTGCAGTTCCCGGAAGACGGAGTACATCAAGCACGTTTCTCCAAAATTAGTGTTCAATAATTCTTTGCTCGCCGGACGAGCCGATACGCTTATACGTGCAGAATTTGCTCACATGGTACCCGCACGCTTGAGATGATGTACAGAGTTCGTTTGATCTTCGAGAAAATGCCTAGATAAAGTAGTTGATGATTTGCACCAGTGGAACCCGAAATCCCTAAAAACTGGGACAGGTGAAGCGGCCAAAGCTTATGCACATGCCTTTGAAGGCCCTTGAGGAATTTTTTAAAGATTTTCGAAGATTTTCGCATGATCTGCGCCCAATCCACTGTAAAGTCTGGAGTCTGGAGTCAAGGTAAAGTAAACTATATGGTCAGAACCATGGGCGCGGCCTCAGTCTATTGTTGCGCCACGAGCACCGACCAGCTGGGTGAACTATTGACTATTGGGGGGGACACCATTTAGCGCTAGCCTCACCCACCATTGGCATAGCGGACAATAATGCTGGGGCTTCGCCTGTCAAACCATTCGTTTGGATTCAATAGTCAGTAACTGGATGGCCGGGAATATTTGTCGGGTTTCAACGTCCAGTCCCAAGAATGTGGTTTCCTCTGGGGATAGTTGGAATATTCGGGAGTCGTCTCGTTTTTTGGGGGGTCCTTCTAGCGGGTTTCTCAATTCAACTGGGTTCACCCCTTTTTTCTGCTCCCTCGTGCTCTGTTGTAGGATTTAAAATAGTGTCGGCATGTCGGCAGACACCAGACAAAAGAGGAATGGTTTGGCAGGATGCAGGGGTTAGTGGTCTAATCTAGGCGCAGCCAATGACTCGACGCTGGACAAGGAACCCTTAATCTCGAGTACAAATCAACTTGCCCCGGAGTGTCACCGCACTGGTTCCGTCACCGGTGGGTCGTTGCAGACACGGCACAGTCATGGACGGAGGAGAACGGAGGAGTCCGGGCCAGATGATCCTCGATCGCCTTGGTTTGCTCGGGCCAATGTCGCACACGAACTAGGGCCGATGGGGAAAACAGTCCCTGGTTCACGGTGGTAGTGGTTTGTGACACGTCCCCCTTTCCCCTCGCCAATGGTCCGGGGGATTGGGGATCAAGATTGGAATTGTGATTGTGATGGACTAACTACCTCCATTCATTGTTTACATCCAGCCCCCGAGACAACTCCGTAAGCTAAGGCACGTCAACCTGTCAAAGTGGGAGCCAGTCCCATGGGTAGTTCCATGGTGGGCGGTGTTTCAGCCATCCAATCCAGTGGACTGCGCCCCTCGAGTCGGATTTGAGTTCTGTACAAGACCGCCATGGAAACCGGGGTGGGCTGCATGTGCGTGGCATGGGACGCAACACGTTCGGGGCGATCATTGCCTTATTTCCCGATGCTGGAAGCCCATCTGTGGACGCGGCGTGGGCATACCTACAGTATTTGTCACGGCACCATCCTTGAAGGGCTTGGAGTGGGCAGGGTAGGGCGGTTTACGCACGATCCGATCTGAGCTCGCGCCCCGGGGCACTGGGTCGATAAACGATCGAGGTTGTCGATCGATTTCAAGTGTGTAGTAGTCGTACTCCGTACTCCGTACTCCGTACATACTCCGTAGCGACAGAATGGATGGGGCAGTAGTATATGCACCATCGCGGTAGAGGCTCCATAGCTCCATAAACGTGTGATTTTGGTTCGATGGCTGGAACCCACTGAGGCGCTTCGACAGGCCAGTTCTAAATAGAGACAGGCGGCGGAAAAGGGGTGTGGAAGCTTGGGTGGAGTTGGGCGTCACCAGTGCAAGCCAGATCTGAGCGGCGTCGAATAGTGGCGTGCGGAGGATTATAGTCGATGAGTCCAAAGAGTCGGCAAGCTCTATGAATAGCATATTCCATACTCCGTAGTGTTAAGGAGTAGAGATGAGCATGAGCATGAGGATGTACGAGTAGGATGTATGTACATACAACACCATACTGTGCTACCTCGTGCAGATTCACGTGTTCACTCACGTTCTACTTCGGTACTGCCAGGGGCGGCCCCGCGGCTCTTCATCCTCTCTACTAACTTCCTTCTGAATCCTCCAGGAGTTGCAATTGAAACTCGGCAAACCTCATACATCCCGTCCAATATACATTTCCATGGAAATCCGTACGCCAGCAACCCAACCGCGGAGTTGCGCTTTTGACTGGACCCCGGGGGACCCAGTCCAAGTGGGTGCCTGTCGATACATACTCTTCTCGTCCATGCGAAAAGCCCGCTATCCTCAGTACTAGTTGAGCCGTCGATCCAAGCCGCGCGCGATTCAATGCTAATCCTTGGAGGGCTCGGAGCGTGAAGGCTAGGAACCACACTACCCTACCGCAACCAAGGATGCGTTCCAATGGAAGGCCCCGTCTTCCATGTCATGCTCCACCCGATGAAATGAAACACACCCGTGCGAGCATGTCCGCTCGTGGTCCTAGCCTATGACAGGCCATGAGGATTTCAATCCCCCCTTTGGCCCATGCAGGCTCCAAAGAAGATACTTGTGGGCCGCCCCTATTAAGCGTACTGATGTGTGAACTTGAAATGGGGTGCCAGTCGATCGTGCCTCCATTCCGATCCTCTGCGCCCGCGCCCGCTTTTCGTACAAAAAAGAACCGCCCCCCGGTTCTGCGTCGCTGTGACTATCCTTTCCTTTCCACCCCGTGTCACCCCTCTCTCCCTAGTCCCTCGTCGGGCGTGCAATACTATCAATTCTCCCTGTGTTTTCTTATTATTTCGCTCATTACCCACGGTACGTTTCGGTGGAGGCCCACGCGGGTAATCCTCTGTTCGGGCTTTGCGTAATTGCTGACCCTCTTGTTTGTGGAGTAGATCCTTGTCAAGCCGTCAAGCGGTGGAAAACCAACTTAAGAAAAACGCCGGGTCCACGAGGCCTTCTCAGTCGAATTCACTCCTCAAAACAGACGGGATTGCGAGATTGTGTATGCGCGCAGTTCCATGACGACCTATTGATTTTTCTTTGCTCCGCACTCTTCCTATGGCGCACCGGGATTCCACCCCAGTGCATGTTCCACTTCGAACCTCGAGCCGGAATCTTTTACAACCTGGAGCGATGGAGGACCACAAGAACTCGGGTTTCGTGGAGCGCAAGACCTCCAAGGCTCAACGCATCCTAGGAACGGACTTGCCTTTGCCAAATGGTCAAAACGGGTGGGACAGCCTGCAGCCGACACAACAGAAGAAGCCCAAGTCCCGAAGACAAAGCTTGCGGACGCCCGACAGTACCTCGAGATCCCGCAAACAACACACAAGCTTTGCTGCTTTCCCAAAATCCGAGGACACCATCCAAGTCCCCCCCCCAAAACCTTCGTGTGCGAGCCTCCTCGCCTCTGTTGGGTCAAGAATACCGATCCCAAGATCCCGTACCGCCGATGCCCAAGCCGTCGAAGAAGATCCACCCATCCAGTTCCTCGTCCACACTCTTCTCCTACTTTAGTTCCAAGGAGAAGGATCCCTCGAAGTCCAAATCGTCACCCACAACCCCAAAGGGCCTTCAACCTAGAGTTCGCAATGAATGGCAGGCAGATCCCCAGGTTACTTTCCAACAGCCTCCACCTCCGAAAGAGTCAAAGCGAAAGCTCCGGCCCCCACGCATTGACCTATCCGTTCTTTTCCCTAAGCCCCGCAAACCCACCACCAACCCTCATCTCCTATCGCCTCAACGTATGACTAGCTCCCCGTCTCCTGTTTCCACCGTTATCTCGGATTGGCCGTCCAACAGAGTTGACCAAGCCGGAAGCAATTCAACCGCGAGACGATTTGGAGACGCATTGCCTGCTCGTTCCTCGGTGTTTCAAAATGAGGCTCCCAAGCCAACCGTCGACCGTTCTGACCGCTCCGATCTCTTATCAATTCCCGAATCCAAGAATTACGAATGGTATGAACCCCCACTGGAGCGCACGGTGGGGACCAGTGAGATCGACCTCGCTCTGGATCGATATGCTGGACGACGATCGCTCTTTAGCCGCTCCAGTGTTTACACAGCAAGTCGAGAGCACCTGCAAGCGGATCAGCGCAATACAGATCAGCGCAATACAGATCAGCGCAATACGAATTCGGGCACAAATACGAGACGCACTCGCAGTCCATCTGGCAACCGCCGCAAGGATTCATACTTGGCTCCTGCATCTCAGCCAGAACCCAATCGTCCTCGAAAGGTCAGCTCGGCTGCGGAGAGTAACTCGCGAAGTGTCAAGAGCTCTATGACCAAAAAGAGCAGCAAGAGTACTTTGAAACACAAGGACCTCCAGAATTCCAGTGTACTCTGTCTTTCGTCATCTTCCGAGGATGAGACAGAGGAGGACATAGAAACGCCAACAGACTCACGTCCAAACCAAGGAAAAAGCAATCGGGATAGCGTTGCTACCTATGACGAGTTTGACGCTGAAATCTACACTGCCTCGACTGCACAGACTGCCACTGCCCATATGTACAAAAAGTCCTCTAGCAGCCGTGGATCGCATCCGAAAACACAGAAGCAAGACAACCAGCAACAAGTCCAGCAGACCCAGCAACCCAAGCAGAGAAGATCTAGCCGCAGAGATACAACAGCGTCAGCCAATAGCAAGTCGACGACGAAAACGACCCAATCCCGGCGGTCCAGCGGTGCCCCTGCTCTTCCTCAGCAGGACATCTTAGACCAGTTCCCGCAACAGCGACTACGCCCACCCCATGAGCTGAAGGAGATGAACCGGAGAAGTCGAGTCATTGCAGTGACTCGGCAGGAACAGGATCTTTTGGAAGCAATGCGGTTGCGAAAGGGCAAGGTTACCCCAAGTCTCTTCAATCACAACGGGGCCCCGCCAGTCCCGGAGATTGATCGCAGCTCGGTAATCTCGGGGCCATCGCGTGATTCCTTCGTCGGATCGGACACTTCGTTCCTGCGTCTCAGTGCGGCATTCCCCCCTTTCCAAGCCCGAACAGATCAAGGTGCTACTCAAATGGATGGATCGCCCTCGCAGAGTTCGAGTTCTGATACTGAGCAGAAAATCGGTAATTCGGTTGCCTCGCCCCGTTTTAGTACGGCGTATTCCGAAAGCCTTCCTTCTCCCGCTACCAGCGGCGCTTCTCCCTTGACTCCGACTCTCCCAATCCACCGCTTCTCGCCTCTCCCATCCCCGAAGCCGCCACCACGCGGCCCCCCGCCAGCTATCCCCGAGGACCAAAAGCGTCATAGTCGTCGCCGCACCGACAGCAGTGAAGCCATCATGCTTGACAACGGCGACCCCCAAAACAAGCACGACCTCCCTCTCTGGTCTTTCGACTTTGACTGGAACACACATGACCGAAGCAACGTTGCTGCTGTGCATTAAGCCGAAGCAGCACTTGACCTTGCACGACCACACTCACTATTAATAATTTTCTCGATTTTCGACTACTTTCACTCGATGTATAAACACTGGCACTCATTTGGATTGCACATCCTGACTATTCTTTACCTCTTGCATTTTCCTATCTCGCATTACTCAGCCTCTCAGCGTTTCTTTTCATCTTTCTACCCCAATCCCTCTTTGTAAATAGATCCCCTTCTTCTGACTATTTGTCTTACGAAAACCGCGTGCCTGTCATGTCTCATACTTGTCACGTCGGACCGGCCATGGCAAGGATGCATGGCGGAAAAAAACAGAATCCATATTTGATATTCTGATTCAATTATTGATTTATCAGTAAAATTGACCGAAAGAAACCTTGTAAGCCATAGCTGATCTGCTGAACCCTCGTCTGGAGGAAAATGTTAAGCATTTGGTTCCCGCACGAAAGTGTACTAACCCATCTACTGTAATACCTAAAACAGAGCCTTCCGTCCAAATGATTTACTCATAAGTCACCATTCATTATTCCGATAAAAAAATTAGATCTGAACTTCTTCCCCGTGATAAAGTTTCAAACACCCCAACCTGAAGTACAAAGTAGACCAGAATAATTAAGCTGATGATGTATTGCCCCAGTTGTCAAACAAACCACTGGTCATGCCTTCTATCAATTCTGGCACGACCTCTCGACTCAGGAGCTTCTCCATCCACTCCAAGTGAGTTTCGAGCGAGTAGTGAGTCTGAAGACCAAGTGCCACTTGTTTCGCAAGATCTTCTGCTTGTTCCCTCCGTATCCATTGTCGGGCCTTGGCTCTCTGAAGCTCCCATGCCCCCTTTGAATCAGCGTGACGGGTTGTGATATAAACGACAGCAATGATGTTGAGATCAACAGAGGCTATGGTGTAAATTTGGCTTTCCACGGGCTTGTTTTCTCTCCAGCTAATAAGAAGCATGATGGTGTTGTTGTTGAATTGCGCCATTAGAGAATATTTTATCTCCAAATCAAGGAGTTGGAATTCTCCATCTGCTCCCTGCGTGTAGATAATTTGAGAGAGAGAAAGAGTAAGACTCTTTTTTGGGGAACCTGCCGGCGGCGTAGTCACTGTTGCGCATGAATCAGAATATGAGATAGTTGGGAACCACCCGGGGTACTCCTCAGGTTGAGGCGTCTGATTTTGATAATCTGGAGCTAGATCTGATAGGAGCCAATAGCTATTCTGCAACAGTTCTGACACTTGATTGGCATGTGTGTTTGGCTGTTCTGTAGTCGGATGATTGAAAGGAGAGGTGTATGAAGAGTATGAAGGGGAAATATCACAATCGCTGCCATAGGAGATTGAGAATGAGGATTCCTGGGTGGAGCTTGATATCCCTTCGGGACAGGACCACCCAGGGGAGGTTGCTGGGTTATATGAAGAGCATGGAGTCATGCTAGGAGTACTGGTAACATCAAAAGGTGCGAATATGGACAGTGATTCGTCCTTTACGTCTTCATTGCCGGGGAGCCTCGGCGCGTTAGGACAAATATCGGAATATGTATAAGCTATCCCTAATATTGACCAATTCGGGGTCACTAGGAGGATCGGTATCCCCAAAGGCACCCGGTGCGGCAAAGGTTGGAGGGAGAGCAGCCTTTTTGCCCCTTGGAGGTCTTCCACGCTTCCTAGCAACAGCAGACATAGGAGCTTCTTGATATGTATCTCTATACAACTTTGGATACACTTAATCTACCTCTATAGCGCTGTGAAAGTTTCTAGTCCCTTGTTCCTCTCTAGTCTCCGCCTTCCAGCTACTCTATTCTATCTTAGGTAGGTGCTAGCCTGCCAGAGGAAGGCGGAGACTAGAGAGGAACAAGGGACTAGAAACTTTCACAGCGCTATAGAGGTAGATTAAGTGTATCCAAAGTTTTATGGAGATTACATACTAATCTGGATTCAGAAGGGCCCATGGTCCATTTAGCAGCCCTCCAGATTAGTGATAGAAGTTTGGTCTATCTCGGGCTACATGATCGAATAGAAAGCAGTGTTATGATCTTGAGCCATCCACGGAGAGAGATCCACTGTAAAAATGTCAATGATAATTGGTTAATAAATATTGGAAATATGCTGGCAGTATTGGCTCCAGTACGGCGGACCTCGTGACTGCACGATTTGCGCCATGCATGCAGATGCAAGTTCCACAGCCCACGTAGACCCCCTACGAACAGCCCTAGCATCGTGGTCGACATGCATTTGGCCCCGACGCCATCAGAAGGTGGCTTGTCCCGGGCGCGGTGCCGAATGGATCAACACGCAATTCGACCAGCGGGGCGGGGTGGCCTTATATCATCTCGCATTCCACACTCCGTATGTATGTGCTCTGGAACAGAAGGAAGGGCCAAGACGAAGTGGATCGTCGTGGGATGGGGCTTGACGTCAGAGGAGATGCCCAGGCCCAGACTCAACCGACTCGACCGACTCAAATCGGCCCCAGGTTTCAGGAAGAGTCAAGGCAGAGGTGCATTGCTTTTCCCAAGAGCAAGGACTGATACTGTTGATGTTCGTGCCCAAGAGACCAAAGACCAAAGACCAAAGAGGGAGTCGCGACCCCGTGATCCACACCGCTCCTCAAACAGTACCAAGAGGTCCAGGTCCATTCCAACGGACACTTCCCCTACATCTTACATCTTACATCTTACTCGACATCTTACTATCACTATCACTCCTTTGCCCTTTATTACAGAGTCCAGAGTACTCTTTATTTCCAGGGGCCTTCCACCTGCCGTGACCTCATACCACAACCTCCGTCTTTCCCTTGTCACCCCAGCCCCCCGACCCACGCGGAGCTCCGCTGTGATCGTCATCCGAAGCCCTGAGGATAGGCCCTAGGCGGCAGATCGTTGGCGTGCCCCCCTGCTTTAGCTGGACGAAGTGTGAAAGTCTAACTAAGACGCTGCACCAGCCTGCGGTCTTTTCTGTCGCTCCCTACTTCTTGCTGCTTCCTCGATCACTCATCTTCTTCTTGTCGTCCCCTTCCATTCTATCTCTCGCCGTATCTCATTTGTTCGCATTGTTTTTACTTCCCCCCCCGATTCCGTTTCTTTGCGGAGAAGATACCCACCTCGTCCCGCAATCGCGACAAAATCCACAATTTCGAGTCACCATGGGGGACCGCACACAGCGCCAACCGTCTTGGCTGCGAGATATCACCAAGAATGTTCCATGGCTGCTGGTAGGGATCCCGCATTGACGCGTGCAATGTGTATCGCGATCCTCAAAACCATGTTGCTGACGTGCCCTTTCTCTGATGCAGCTCACGGTACAATCAACGGGGTTTGTTTTGGTGAGTCTCTTTTCGCTTTATCTCAAGATACCCCCCCGCGCAAAAGACTGATTGTTTCTTTTGCCCACGATGACAGCTCGCCCATTATTCTCGAGTGATGCCCCCCGCCGGTGGGAAGCGATATCTGACCTCCACCGCCGTTTTTCTGAACGAGATGGTCAAGCTGGCCATTTCTCTCACAATGGCCCTCTATGACGTCTCCAAGGCCGCGCCCCTCTCGATGCCCGCCACATCCCTCTTCTTCTCCCTCACTAGCGCTGTCTTTTCGGGCGACAGTTGGAAACTTGCAATCCCTGCCAGTCTCGGCGTTTTATCCAGTTCGCTACAATACATCGCACTGTCCAATATGCAGGCGGCGAGTTTCCAGGTTACTTCGCAATTGCAGTTCTTTACGACTGCGATCTTTGGTCTGATGGTTCTCCGTCGGAGTATCGCACCTCAAAAGTGGGGCTTACTCTTGTTGCTTCTCGTGGGCGTTGCCCTTGTTCAGATTCCGGATGCCAATTCAGATCAAATGACCCTGCAGGATGAAAGCGCGTCTTTGCATTTTCCCAGATCACTTGAAGAATGGAAGGCCGCCAAGGGAATTTCACGTAATATGCACAAACGTTCTGCGACATACGAAGGCATTGAGGAGGATATTCAGACCGCCGACCCACACTTGAACCCGACATTGGGTCTGCTCGCGATCATCGGTGCCGCGCTAGCTTCCGGCCTCGGTGGAATCTACTTTGAGAAGGTTCTCAAGGACAGCTCAAACCACACTTCGCTGTGGGTGCGCAATGTTCAACTGACAATCTACTCTGTGTTCCCAGCACTCTTCATTGGTGTCGTTTTCCGCGACGGCGATACCATCTCCAATGGTGGCTTTTTCCAAGGCTACAACTGGGCCGTATGGACCACCATCGTGGTTCAAGCCCTGGGCGGTATACTATCCACATTTTCCATCAGCTCTTCCCAGAGAGATCCCAAGTCGCTGGCCCCCACCATCAGCACTGTTCTAAGCATTCTTGCAAGTATTTACTTATTTGATTTCGAGCTCACTGCAAGGGTAAGGGTCCACGTTCCCATCATTCCCAAGAAAAGCCATACTGATAATGTGAGCTTTAGTTTTTTGTTGGGTCTGCTGCTATTTTGGTCGCAACACACTATTATGGGAACCCGTGTTATACCTCCACAGGCATCCGGCCTCCTCCAATTCGCATTGATGCATACGAGAAAGATAGCGGTGCTGACAGTGGATCACCCGTGTCAAACTCCCCCGACGAATTTTCGATTAAACTACCCAGCACTCCGTTCTTGTCGGATGGTCTCTCGTCCTCCCGTCCTACCTCTCCGAGCCCGAGTCACCACACTCGTGTTAGTTCTAGCCGGAACGTGAGTGGGAGCAGCTACTTCGATAAGGAGTAGCTGAAAGCCGGCTTGACTCCACTGGGCACCCCTCCCCTGATTACGGTGATATGATTTGGACGACTGATAGATACGATTAAGCCGGTGGCTGTGGCCATTCCACATAATATTTCCCGACATTTCGCCTTCTACCGAGAGGCAGATTTGTTTAAGCGTGTTTCCTACATCAGCCCCCCCCCCCCCCCCCGCCTCTGGGGCTTCGGTCATGTATGCATATAAAGTTATTTTGATAGTTAAAAGAATTTGCCGTCAATATTTTACTCTTTTGTCCACCTGGCCCAGACCCTCTTCAACATACTACCACTAGTAGCTGCTGACATCTTTTAGCTAGTGCGATTGAGATTCTGCATATCTCATGTTCGGGCGAGGAGGTCGTTGTTCCACCCTTCTAACTATCCTGTGAAGCCTAATCTATTCGGTTAGCAGATAATAAAGCAATAACGTAATCGCGTGCGAGGATAAAACGGACGAAGATTGTCCTACTCTGGGTGAAGCCTACAGTGGCCCAAATCGGAATCCCCGTGACTCTCCAGTCCCGCTAGTCATTACCATGCTTCACCTCCCAGGATCACCGCAACACTCGCCCAATTCGATTCCTGAATCAGACCTGCAACCATGCGAAGATATCCATACTATCGATCAAACACAATTCATTCCTCGCCAAAATGGCGTCGCATTGACACTGGCTCAGCTGCTACCTCTCGGAACAATAGGGCTGGGGTCATTGATCAGAAGCTGATCGAAGGATCTCATCAACCACGGGCCTACGACTCTCGTCTTCGAAATTCTTCAATCATGACCACTCCTGAGATTGGCCCTTGTGATGGAGACTCTCAATTAGATGCCTTTGGTAAGCTGTCAACTGCCAATAAAAACGCTCGATATCGCTAAGACCCATGAGACCTCGAGTTACTTGCATCCGACTCCGGTATAGGGCCCACCATAACATCAGAGACTCCTCTCGGGAAAGCCACCCCTCAGCAGATCTACAAGAATGCGAGCTTGAGCAATCAGGCTGCTCCGGTGCAGACCTCTCGTTTTTTTACTCGTAAGTTCTGTCACTTTCAGATGGGCGAAGTCACCGCTAAGCTGATATCCAACAGCAATACTCAAGAATGCGCCTCTCAGTGGATTGGGATCCAGTCAGCCCGACAACCGCTTCGGCCCCTCGTCCAGCCCGCTGGCTTTGATGCATCAACGAAAGAACAATTCGACTGAACGACGAGGTCAGCTGGAACTTTCCCGCGAAGAATCTGAATTCGAGTCAACCCAGTCGTCCTTGAAACAAACAACTTCATTTTACCCAAAGACTAGGGCTCCTATTGACTGCTCGGAGAATCAAGGACAGTCTCCCTTTTCCAATATTCCCCTCTCGGTGCGAGGCATTGTTTTAGTCCCAGTTTCGGACTTGTGCGAGCAACACCGGTCGCTTTTCAGTTTCCCCTTTTTCAATGCCATTCAATCAAAATGCTTTCATACCGTATACAACACCAACGATAACTTGGTATTATCAGCGCCGACTGGAAGTGGCAAAACGGTGATAATGGAATTGGCTATCTACAGACTTCTCAACATCTTGAAAGACGAGCGTTTCAAAGTTGTCTACCAAGCCCCGACCAAATCGCTTTGCGCAGAGCGGTTTCGGGATTGGAATCGCAAATTCTCAGCTCTCAATCTGCAATGTGCCGAGTTGACGGGTGATACAGATCACACTCAGCTACGCAGGGTTCAAAACAGTCAAATAATAATCACAACGCCTGAGAAATGGGATAGTATGACACGCAAATGGAAAGATCACATGCGGTTGATGCAACTGGTGAAGCTGTTTCTAATCGATGAGGTCCACATTCTCAAGGAGTCTCGAGGCGCTACGCTTGAGGCTGTCGTGTCACGAATGAAGAGTATAGGATCGAATGTTCGCTTTGTTGCCTTGAGTGCCACTGTTCCAAACTCGGAGGACATTGCGACCTGGCTTGGGAAAAATGCTACTACCCAGCACGTTCCGGCTCATAGAGAGCATTTCGGGGAAGATTTCCGACCAGTCAAGCTGCAGAAATTTGTATACGGGTATCAATCGAGTGGAAATGATTTCGTGTTTGACAAGATTTGTGGTTCGAAGTGAGTGATCCAAAAGCGAGCTTCCAGACAATGACTTGATATCTCTAACTAACCATCCCTTCTAGATTACCTGATGTTATCGGCACCCATTCTTGCCAGAAACCAATGATGGTTTTCTGTTGTACTCGAAACTCGTCCGTTGCAACCGCCAAAGACCTCGCTCGGTTGTGGACAATGGCACATCCACCTGCAAGACTCTGGAAAGGGCCTACCAGACATATGGAAGTCCACAACGAGGACTTGAAAGGTATGGATTGAGCTTCGGTCTTCCTTTTTGATTCATTCTGACGGTGCACAGGAACCGTATGCGCAGGGGTGGCATTTCACCATGCCGGACTAGGCCCAGGAGATAGACACGCCGTTGAGAAGGGCTTCTTGGATGGACACATTAATGTGATATGCTGCACCTCCACTTTGGCGGTCGGGGTTAACCTGCCGTGTCACCTCGTGATAATCAAGAACACGGTTTCCTGGCAAGAGGGTGGCTGTCAGGAATACTCCGATCTCGAAATGATGCAAATGCTCGGTCGTGCCGGGCGACCTCAATTCGACGATAAGGCAACAGCAGTCATTTTGACTCGAAAGGAGCGCGTCAATCACTACGAGAAACTGATTGCAGGCTCAGAAAGTCTTGAGAGCTGCTTGCACCTCAACCTTATCGAGCATCTCAATGCGGAGATTGGACTGGGAAATGTGACCGATCTTGAGAAGGCAACGAGATGGCTTGCCGGGACTTTTCTCTTTGTGCGACTTCGTCGGAACCCGACCTACTACAAGCTTAAAGAAGGGGCAAGTGAGGAAGATGAGGAAGAGCTTCTACGTCAGGTTTGTGAGAAGGATATCAAACTTCTTCAGGAATGTGGACTAGTTGGGACAGACGGACTGCGCTCAACTCAGTTTGGAGAAGCCATGGCTCGATATTACATACGTTTTGAGACGATGAAGATTCTTCTCTCTCTGCGCCCAAAAGCGACAATGTCTCAAATTGTATGTGTGTCCCCCGATAAGCATGAAGTTTTACTAATGAAAAAAAGCTGGGAGTCGTTGTTCAGGGGGAAGAGTTTCATGAAATCCGCGTCAAGGCTGGCGAGAAGCCTCTTTATCGGGAAATCAACAAGGATCCCGGTATTCGATTTCCAATCAAGGTTGAGGTTTCTCAACCGTGCCACAAGATCTCCCTCCTGCTTCAAGCAGAACTTGGCGCAATCGACTTTCCCAGTGGCGAACAGTTCCAGAAGCACAAGTTCTCGTTCCAGCAGGAGAAATCCCTGGTCCTCTCTCATGTCAATCGATTGATTCGCTGTGTTATTGATTGCCAAATTTCACGCGAGGACTCAACAGCAATGCTCAACTCACTAGAACTGGCGCGCAGTTTCGGTGCCAAGGTGTGGGATCACTCTCCGCTTCAAATGAAGCAAATAGACCAGGTCGGTGTTGTTGCCGTGAGGAAACTAGCTGCTAGTGGGATAATGAGCCTTGAGGAGCTGGAGTTCACTGAGCCTCATCAGATTGAAATGACGCTCAGTAAGAATCCTCCATTTGGGACCAAATTGCTGGCGCGGGTGAGGGAGTTCCCGAAACTGAGGGTCGCCTTGAAGATAACTGGAAGGGTTTGTCAGGAATCAACGCAAGCATCACTATGGTTGGCTAATATGCAGAGCAGGAGGTCACAACCGAAGGTGTCAAAATCCGTTTCAAGCTGGAAGTGGCATTTATGAATACGAAAATCCCAACTTTTTTCCAGCGACGACACATCTACGTTTGCTGCTTGACTGAAACATCTGACGGTCAACTCATCGACTTCAGAAGAATTAGGTGTGTTGGAGAAGATTTGGGACATGCGCAAGGAACTAACAGTGCATAGTGCGAGTAAGCTCCAAGAGGGTCTGGAGGCCAATCTCGTCGCGGAATTGCATGTCCCGGGCCAATTCATTATCAGCCATGCCATGTGCGATGATATAGGTATTGAATCTTCCCAAGCTGAATTAAGTCTGGTTTTAACTTCCCATTAGCGGGTACATCGAGACAAGCCGAAATCAAGCCGGAAGTTCCGTCCCTCTTGCCACGACCAAAAAACAAATGCCTCGTGTCCAAAACCTCGCGACTTCCCGAAACCAGCAATTCAGACTCGATTGACCGCCCAGAGACCTCTCAAAAACAACATAAACCCAAGGCGAGTCACCGAAAGGATGATTTCGAAGGCGATGACTTAGATCTAGATGACTTTCTAGAAGCGGGTTCATTCGAGAAGAAACCGAAACAGGTGGAAAAAGCGACCAGTCATCCGACTGATGACATTGAGTGGATTTCGATTGATTGCACCCCCAGTCCACCTCCTCATACTGCAAATTCATCCCGAAACCACGATGAGAAATGGACAGCAGACATGGGACCGCAAGAGGAAGACTATGAGCCTGTCCGACTCGCAAACGGGAACTGGGCATGCAACCACAAATGCAAGGATAAAACGAGGTACGCATGCACCTGAGGATAAAGATCTGGAAAATAATTAATGAATGCTAAACATCATAGTTGCAAACATTTCTGCTGTCGAGATGGTCTCGAAAAGCCCCCAAAGCCTGGAAAATGCAAGACTACCGCGAACCTCAAAGCTCACGGTCTCAGCCAATTGACTTTACCGGCAAGCACTGGCGAAAAGAAAACTCTCAAAGACAAAATGCCACTAAAGGCAAAACAACCTGTCAAACGAAAGACCAGTCAGCTGTCGGAATCGGGTACCTGGTCCTCAGGCTTGCCAAGCAAGAAAAAAACGAAACAGACCCAGATCAACTACAAGCAAGGCGGCAAAGGCAATCTTCCCAAGTCCAAAAAAGAGCGACCAAAAAGTCCTTCCAGGGTCCCGTCTAGTGATTATGGGGATTATGGACTCAGTGATCTGCCATCCCCGTCAACCTTTCTGGATACTATCGACTCCAGACTTTTACGACCTAGGCCTCCGATTATGGGCTTATCACAGCCTAGGGAAACCGAGCAAATGTTTATCGATCCTTCCGTTCTAACTCTTTCGGATTCTGGAGTACCAGGCAAGGTGGACACTGCTCTTCAACTTGCATCTCCAGCAATGGGAAGCTCAGAGGCTAGGAAAACCCCACCCAGCCCCTCACCAGAACAAGAAATTATTGATGGATGGGACAGTACCCTGTCAGAATCCAGCCCGGAAGTATTCACTTCGCCTGCAGCACTGAAAAGTTCTGCTACTACTGCACCACTGTTGACCTCTCCTCAAAATACAGTTCGCTCACCGAAGGGGAAGGAAAGAGTCTTGGAGATGACCCATGAAGATCTAGAGCAGCCAAAGCTCGATCAGTATCCTCTCATGGATACACTCCATGAGATACTTTCAGTACCAGCTACCAATGTCCGCTTGACGGGCAATGGAGACGATGAGAACTCAAGCAATGGATGGGAGGATATTGATCGGATGTTGTACGAGGAGTACAAGAACATCGTCAATTTTTATTGAGACCCAAGTTCTGAAGGGGGGTCTCGGATCTTCAGAATCCTCGCTATGTTCAAGGATAATGTTTAGTGGCTGAGATGGCGGTATGTGGGTTATTTATGATTATGATGTATAGAGTATTTAAATATAGTAAGGATTCCAGGCATTATGCTTAGCTATCATTACATGACCACTATGAATGATATTGAAAAGTCCTCGAATTTCATTTGCTCTGTCAGCGAAACAAAGAGGAAATCAAAAGACCTCCGCCCTAAGCCCGAGTGCTTAGCCTAGACCTTAATCCGTTCATCACAACGAAATGATACTAACAGGACAGCTGGGCCGGTGTTTGTCCACCCGAGGTGAGAACTCTCTCCATTCCATCATCATCCATCCACCTCCAGCTATTGCTAACAGAGAGTGTATACCATCGACCTTGTCTCGTATCTCTGACCCTCTGCTCCCATCGGCCCATGTGTGCTAATAAGGCCGTAAATTATGCAGAACAGGGATTGACATTCATTCACTCACATTTGAAGAAGGAGTACTAATTTGACGCAACAAAATTTGGCCCCCATATTTGACCTGTGCAACAGGTCGCGGGGTGGAGATGAAGTGGCATCGGCCCCCACTCTGGGTGGTGTGCACTGCCCCTGGCGCTAAAATCCAGGGCTTTGAGCTCACTCCAAGGCTCATTATGAGGCGTGTTTCCTGGGCACATGTCCGGCCAAAACCAGAACACTCTCAGTCGGCCATTCAATGCTTGAGATGACCCGAGTCAGATCACTCGCAAGACGCAGCGGAGAAGAGGAATCCTCGGAAGAGCAAAAGCAACCATTTGTTGAGCAATCCACACACGAAGATGAAGAAGAACAGGGTCAAGATTTTGACAAGGCGAGCGCGACGCGATATGGGTGCATTGCCGCTTTATTCGTCGGTGTGATTCTCTCGCTTGTTTGTTTGATTTCTGGCATTTATCTCCTCATAACGAATAAGGCAAAGCTTGGCGCTTCAATTTCAATCTCCGATACGAGTCGCGAGGTTATCTCACTGGTGATCAACGTTATCTTGGCACTCTGTACTGATGGTATGATGTTTATGCATTCTGTCTCGTTGCGCTGGGCATTGTATCGCGAAAGACGTCTGGAGTTCAACACCAACGTTCGCCTTTTCACCAGCGCCAGAGTATTTGGGCCGAACAGCTGGTACATCAACCTAGTAGCACTGAGCTGCCTGATCCTGTCATATGCGTCCACATCCGTTCTTTTTTTGTCCGACGAAGCCGTTCTATCGTCTGCGTACGAACAGCAGGAATCTTCCAAGGACCCAGTTTTGGTCAACGCTACGGCTTTAGTCGCTCTAGGTATAGGTCTGGCTGGCCAGGCTGTTGTCGCTACGTGGTGTTTTGTATCCAGCAAAAGGTTGATTCCAACATGGAGTGCCAATCCTCTCAATACCGCATTGGCAGCGATCCAGAAAGGTGACATTTCTCACCGTCCCGGGAGATGTATGCTATCAGTGCACCAGCGAAAAATGCAAAGCCAAGAGACATATCCTTTGGAAAAGCAAGGAAATATGCTCCGTGGAAAGAACCTGGTGCGATACATTCTTGTTTTGCTTTGGTCTCTCGCACTTCTAGCCATTGCGTGGCCAATCACTATCGCTGCTCTTTCCAAGTCTATCGGTAACGCTAGTGCTGCTGGCCAAGCATCCGAAGCTTTATGCTGGAAGCTCGGATTCAAATGGGATCAGAGTAGCTTGGCCTGCTCTCGGAACTATGTGACATTGTCATTTTCCCCTTACGCCAATGACCATAAGCCCAACTCGGCAATCTTCTCTTACGGCACTGAGGCCGTCCTTTGTGTCCTCTTTGTCTGTCTTATCCAGGGTGTTCAGACTATTGCACTGCACTGTCTGGAACTACTAGTCAATTTGTCTAGAGATGAAGGGATATGGCGACAGGCTCATCGGGATGAAACAAAAAACGCTCCTGGAACACAGTTGGTCACGAATCCGTTTCGCGCAGCTGTATTAAGTTGGGAAAACGTGTTTCTGTTCATATCAAAGGCTCTGATGCATTGGATAATTGGCCAAAGCCTGATTCCATCTGTTGTTGTTGAAGATTCCAAGAGCTTTGAAGACTCCAGGAGCTTTGAATCCATCGCTTATACTTCTGTTGAAAACCTGACCAGTCTCTCGTTGAAAAATGGTTTCCAATTTGATATGGTCTACTCGCGGTTGATCATTTATGCCATATTATCCATTATTGTGGCCACTGTGGCGACCTTTCTGGCCCTTAGGAGACCGAAGGGCTGTCAGCCTGCCGCGTTGGGCCACCTGCAGACTCTTGCGGATCTTGTCGACGATTGGAAGACAAATGGCGATGGCCGGATTTGGTGGGGAGATAAGACCTCGCAAGATGGTGATCAAGTGCGGCATGCTGGAACATGCCGTGAGAAATCGATGGTTGGACCGATACTATGTACTGCGAAATATGCCGGTAGATGATTTGAACCTCGGGAGCGGTCATGCTCAGTGTTCAATTTAGAAGCTATACTTGAATCTTATTAAATTACATTTGCTTGAACGCATTATTTAGTATTTATTAGAGTAAATGAACGGAGAGCCATAGTCGGTAAATTTCCAGATTCATGTTCTTTGAATAGGAGTGGAGGGGGTATGTATGGGGAGAATTGAGCAACACTATGGCACCGCGAGCTAGGTAACTTTAAATGGCACAACAATCCGATATTGACCAGACATCCATCAATAATTCTCAACATCATCTTTTCCAAACCTTCCTTCAAGAACCTTTTTCAACTTGGCCCATGCAGCCCGCAGATCGCCCGGAATGGCAGGCATCAAGTGAGATAAAATTGGTTGGCACTGAGATACCAGATCCTGACATTCACTAGCCTGCTGTGAGACATCATCCAGGAGACGGGAATATTGGACCGAAATTGACATGAAGGTTTGGCAGTTTTCCACATCAGGCAGTCGGCGGAGAAGCTCATTGACAGTCAGAACTTCAGAACGCAAGGCATCTACCCTGACGAGAAGGTCATCTGAATCATGTTGAAATTGGGAAACGATAGGTGAGAGCTCTTTGTAGCGACGAGAGTGATGGTTGTATTCCTGGAGGGCCCCAGCCTGGGCAATTGAAGATGCAAGGTGCTGTATGCCGTAATTCAGGGACAGGACGGTGGGTCGGAGTCCACGTTCTTGTGCCACGAGGTGTGTCTTTCTGATTTTCAACGATTCACATTGAACTTTCTGGAGTGCGTGCAGCTGATAAATGTGGATCAGTTTCGCATCCCGAGACAGTGAGTAAAAGTCCTCCGGAAGTGGGGAATCACGTTCAAGCGTAGTGGTGATAGAGCCTTGGTCATCAATTTCGATGTCTTCTGTGGTCTGTCAGACTGGCGACGTCATGTTTGGGGAGGGAGAGATTTTAGGAGTACCTTTAGTATCCATGGTGCGGGATCAAATTGTATGGCTGTCTTTAATGGGAGGGTTCTGTAAGTTCAAGTCAGTGACGTGTGGTGTGTGTGTGTGTGTGCGTGTGTGTGTGTGTGTGTGTGAGAGAGAGAGAGAGGAGAGAAGGAGATGAAGAGACAATAGTGTGTGATTGAGGAAGGTACGGGCTGTGGAAGTGGAAGTGGAAAGTGCGATTACAACTACTAGTTACTACTACTACAACTACTACTACTACTACTACTACTACTACTACTGCTGAGGTTGCACCAAAGCAAGTCTAATCGAGTACTCTATATAGAATACTACTTACTCCCTAGGTACCTAATAGTATGCATTGATTATATATACATACCTAGGTATATACTACTTTTCTCTTCCAAGGACAAAACTGTGAGAGTATAACGTGTATATTGAAACTATTCCTGTCTTTCGAAATGAATACTAGTATCTGCCAGCAATCCAAACAGAGCCTAGCCTGCTATTCTAAATCTGACCAATCAAAATAATTTGCCCATCTCGACCGCCTCCCATGTACCTTGATTACCTTCTAGGAAGCAGAAAAAAAATGAGCCTGACCCGATTTGAACGGATGACCTTGTGGACTGGAATCACACGCGCTACCGCTGCGCCACAAGCCCAATTGATGAAGGAAGTAGCCAGATGCTGATATTGATTCCCGGCATGAGTATATATACTAGGCTGTGGCTAATGATAATTTAGCATCACATGATATCCTCTTATAGACAGAGTTAATTATTATAGACCACCTAGAATACACATAGGAGTATAGATAATTTTCCCCTTTGGCCCTTTGAGAAGCCCCGTTTTGGCCTGATAACTTGCTTCTTTGTACATTGACATATGTCAGTTCTACATGTTCTGATATATTTTGATGGCCTCGTTGCTAGTAGGGCACCCGTTGTCGACGCAATCAATGGATGGCGTTTCCAAGGCTTGAGCAGATAGACGTAAATTTATTGAAGACGAGCTTAAAGTCGGTGCAACTTTACTTTTTATTATGATAGTATTCGTATGCATTGTGTATTACTGTGCCCGGAGTCTAAAGAGGGCCCTTGGTGCTTTGTTCTCCTCGGAATTTAGTCAACCACTCAAGATTGTCGGCCACTGTGTGGCTCCATTGGTCTTCAGAATCAAACAAGAGTCATCTTGCCTCGCGTTGAAACATTTCGTCTGTCGGAATAACATTATCTCTCATCATTTGTTGCACATAACGACTTAAATGACAAGTGAGTACTTCCGTGTAGGATAAGAAGAGCCATATAGTACTCCGCCTCCGAGAATCTTATTCCTAATAAGGCCTGGCGGAAGGCTTCCATCAGTAGCCTTAGCAAGGGCTAGGGATATGACCATCTTTGGATAACCGATGTTACTTATCGACATGCCAAGAGGGGTCGCTCTGCTTGGGGCTCGTATTCTGCCGAGCCCCAACGTATGAGAAACTGATAATTCGCCGATCACCTCAGCTTTCAAATTTAGGAATGCGAGAACATGCGGGCATGTGGGCGATTTAGTAATAAATAAATTCACCATGTATTTAAGACATGACCGAGGTCGCTCTCGATCGCCTGGTGGATGTCGTATCCAATGACGCGCGGGTTTTGAGCGTGCGACTTTCTCAGCTTCGTCGAATTTGGGACTAGAACCCCTTTATTTGCTGTTTTTTGACACTGTTCTCCTAAAAAAAAGCCCATCTCATCTTTCTTTAGGGCTGCTTCCTACTTCACGACAAAAATGACCCGTCTCACGACTATTTTCGCAGCGCTGTTCGTGCTCTCCTCCTTCCCGCTAAGCTTGGCCTGGACCTTTGTGTGGAGAAATGCCACCGATATCGCCACCGTCGAGAACGGTACCAGTGCGCAGCGTTGCAAAACGATCGAGCAAGCCAAAAACAAGATTTACAAATTCGACGCAAAGGGCAGTCTCGTCCGCCTCTTTCTCTATGGCTCATCGAACTGTACAGGCGATATTATCGACACATCCGAAGATAGCCTCGCGAGCAATTCGACGGTTCCAATCTATGGGTTCGCGGTCATTGATTTAAGGGGGGCAAACAGCAGCAGTGGTGGTGAGCTCACGCCATTTCCAGGAAACGATTGGTTCAAGTTATCACCCAACAGTCCTGTGATCACAGCCATGGGGAAAAGACTCCTCGCAGAAAATTGTGGGAAATACCGCGAGGGACCGGGACCACAGTGGTCTGATATTGACCGGCAGTCCTATCAATGCTGGCAGGAAAAGCTGGGATATAGCGATAAAGATGCTGATGGGTGGCCCGGCAAGGCAAGTTGGGACCAACTCAAGGTTCCTCTGACAGTCACGAGTGACCCCGAGAGCTCTTCTACAGCGACGAAGACACCGTCCAGTACGAGTGCTAGTACGAGCAATCCGACGGGTTCATCTGCTCCGACCACAGATACCTCTTCTAAGTCGTCGCTCAGCGGAGGCGAAATTGCCGGCGTTACTGTGGGCTCTGTGATCGGAGTAGGACTTATTGGGGCTGTAATCTATCTCTCGCGTCGGGTAGGCCGACGCGGTGCTTTGGCTTCTGGAGATTTCGAACCAGAGTCACAGTCACAACAACGGCCAAAGAGTGGATATAGCGGTGTTGACGGCGGAGTGGAAGAATCAAAAAAGCCGTCGGTGGAGCATCCTCCCACGGAGGCCGGAGCAGTCTCCATGAAGAAGGAGAATAGGCATGTTGCTGAGCTTTCGGGAGATATGACAGTGGCAGAATTGAGTGATAGTCGGAGGATCCTTGAGATGGGAGATGGTCGCAAATAGGATGAAATTGAGCGAAGTCGAATTTTTAATGCACAGCCGAGTATAAACGAGATTTAACGCAACTCTGCCTATGATTACCCCCCCTATCGACAATACAACCCATATAAGCTCGCCCTCCCTTTGAAATCTACTATTTCAAGCTACCGGTAGTGTGGATCCTTACAACTACCAACAATGCCCGGGCAGTAAAGTCTGCTGCGCGATAGGCGAAACTTGCCTTAACAACAAGCTTTGTTATAGTGCGAGATATAATATTGCCTACCGTGGAGCGTGTGTGAGCCAAGACTGGCCTGCTGAAGATTGTCCACATATTTGCCATACAGGTACGAAAGGCGCAATGTACTAGTAGATCCTACTAGGAAACGAGTTAGTAGGCAACTATTACTCTGTACCCTATGATTAATCATTCTACTATCCGAGAAGAGATCCCTAGCAGCTGGTCAAATTTGTTCGCTGGTCCCTATAATAGCTTCGGTGTTTTCACCTGTGGAAACGGGAGTGGAGCGAAAGAGATTTGCCGAGCCAATTTGTCGAATTTTGTGTGGAAGGCGGCGATTATTTCCATGCCTCAGTTAATTGAACCCACAATAAACTCATCGCTGAAAACAATCAATCTGATCTGGCATCCACAAGTACTAATACTTGCAAATGCTCAAAGCAAACGGTTGAGATCGGGGCTTGTCTCGGAGTGGGGTTAGGACCGCCCTTGATACTGGTTTCGATATGGCTCTGGATGGTTAATGGTTAGGAAGGGAATGGGAAGCTCACAAGGAACAAAAATGGAACCCGAGACCAAACATGGTGGTAATGAAATTGAAAACCGACCAGGATACCAACATCGTCAAGACACAGAAGGATATTGTCTTCCATCCCGCGAACTTCCTACCCTAGGAAACCAAGCAGAGATAGATGCACTAGGCTCTATGGTACGCGAGCTAGAATGATTGATTATTTGGGGATATCAGGAGTCAGAGGTAGCGTTGTATGTCAAGATTATAGTATTGCTGTACGTCTAAGTATAACTGGAGTTGGTAGTGGAGAAGCATTTCCCCGCGGTGGAGTCCTCTCCGACTCCGAGTCTCTCTCATCCTGCGTGAATTTGAACTTGCCCTTCCCACCATTCCATTCCTTCAACTTTCATCTACTCACTCACTTACCTACCACCATCGCCACAATCGCTACTATACCATCCCAGACTTCCACTCGTTTACCCTACCATGCTCCGCGCCAAACGCCAAAACACCCACTCCCTCGAGGACTCCTCCGTGACCCCCGCAACTTTCACCGATGGCCTGCCCCTCCCCAAGCTGATCGCCTTCGATTTGGATTATACCCTCTGGCCCTTCTGGGTCGACACACACGTTAGCGGGCCCGTCAAGCCCCGCGACAACAATTCACGCGTTGTGGATCGGTATTGTCCAATCCCTCCCTCCTACCGCTCCCCTCTTTGATCCGATCTAACTCGAACCCTCGTTTCACAGATGGGGCGAAGCCTTCGCATTCTATCCAGCCGTATCCTCCATTATTCAGGCCTGTAAGAGCCGCGCGATCCCTCTGGCCGTCGCCTCTCGAACCCAAGACCCCGATCTAGCGCGCGACATGCTGAAAGCACTACACATCATCCCTTCGTTCTCCGACAACCCAGCGGCGAATACGAAAACGAGTCGCGCGCTGGAATACTTTGATTTTATCCAGATCTTCCCGGCCAACAAGACGCAGCATTTCTCGCGTATTCAGCAGACTAGTGGGGTGGCTTATGAGGATATGCTTTTCTTCGATGATGAGGCGCGGAATCGGAATGTTGAGACGGAGCTCGGGGTTACGTTTTTTCTGGTGAGGGATGGGATGAAGCTTGATGTGGTTGATCGGGGGGTTTGGGCTTGGAGGAAGAGAAATGGTATCAAGAAGAATGCGGATGGGGAACTCCCTAACTGAGGATCTCTCCAGCTGTATATCTTGGGATCTTCAAGTTCAAGTTATGTTGGATGACTTTATGCATGGTAATTGTTGATGATTATATATAGATTTGAAAGCTAGTTGAGATACCCGGTCGGAAGTACATATGGACCTAAGTTAAAAGTTAGAGAGCTTATTCCTAGGGATTATTTAATGGTCGCCGGCGTGCGAGTGATAAATTGGAAGTCAAGTGGATGATGAGAAACAAAATCTGGGATTGAATGGTCTCGGATCCAGCCAAGCTGAAAAGAAGAAGAGAAGTTGAAGAATTCCAGTAGAGGTATAAAAAGGACAAGTCTGAAGAAAAGAACAAAAGAAAATAAAAATACACCATCCATCGTCAATCATATCCATCCTTATCAAAACAGTCCAGCTCTTCCAAAGGTTCATTATGCAAATGCGGGTCACCTATCAAGCCCCAGACCGCCAACTGAAAAGCTTTCGAAGCTTCTTTCGCTGGGAAAATGACTTTCGCTCCTCGTTCTTGCGGTCCTCGCCGCCAAGAGAGAGCGAGCTATGGAACCTCCGCTGCAAGTCGTCTAGCGCGTGAGCAGGGTGCCCGCGGAGGCCCATGGTCTCTGCGTTGGCCGCGGCCAGCACGGATTGGACATGGGGGTCGAAGATGGGGTCGTAGGGATCATAATGTTGGTTATAATTCATTGTGTTGGCATAGTAGGTGTTGTATGGGGCGGGAAGATCGGTAGGTGAGGGTAGATCAGAAGGCGTAGGGAGCTCATAAGAAGAATCCTGATCCTGTGGCAGGTCGTAGAAGATACCGCGGTCACGTTCGTCGACCTGAGCCCATTCACCATTTGCGTAGACGGGAGAGCCGGGTTCTCCGATCTCGCTCTCTTCGGAGTAGAAGGTAGGCTGAGAAGAGGATGGGGGTCGTGGGGAACTGGAGAAATCATGGCATCCATCTTGATCTACCTCATCAAGATCAGGATAGCTTCCAAAATGATGTTGCTCGGCGTGATGTTGCTGATTCTGAGACCAGTAGTTATGTTCGCGGAGAGAGTAGTCGGAAAGCGAGCGGACTCGATCGTGCACTCCGGGTGACGACGAGGGGATATCCGTGGTTTGCATCTTGGGCGTGGAGTGGCTTGCAGGTAAAGAGGTGTAAAGAGAGTGCGAAGAGTAATGAGATGGCAGCGAAGCATCCGTGAACTGAGAGAGCGATGTTCGATCAAATGTTTGATCTGGAGAAAAAGTAGTGGTCGATATTTTGGAGTTACGGCGGTTGTCAGTCGAGAGAAGTGAGCAAGCATCAACATCCTCAATGAAAGAAACGATCCGGGCGACGTCCAGGGACCTCCGTGGGTTTAGAATCTCAAAGGATGTCCCGCCATGGGAGATGGTGGCGACGGCCTGCGTGTTGGCCAGCATCGAATCGGACGCTTGGAAACGAGATAGAGGCGGGTGTTGAGCCTGGCCCCTATCTTGGGCGCGTTGAAGCTTTTCACGGAAAGTATTCTAGAAAAGGATGGTCAGAGGGGGAAAGTCTTGTTTATCTATGTTTCAGGTCACTCACCAATCGCTTCCTGTTTGGTCTTGGACGGGTAGCGTGCTCTGAGACAAGATGAACTCGTGGAGCCTGGGGTTGATAGCCACCTGCAAACAGGTCAGTGCTTTGCGTCTTGCATAAAATTAAAATTAAGAGGTAGCATACCAGTCGCAGGTTCTGAAACCTCGGGCTCCTGCTCGCTTCGCTGAGAGATGACGCTGTGCGAATAGGATGGCGATAGTGGCGGAGGAGTAGATGCCACCGAACAAACTGAGACCGCAGACGAGGGCAGCGATGTGAGTGCCGTTGGACGATTCAAATTTGAATTTGCAGTTTTTCGCTTCAGCGTTTTTTCTGAACGATCGACAAGATCGTCGACGGGCTCTGCAGACTGCAAGAGATATTTTCGGTAATCATGGAGCGATAATGCACCAGTGATCCCCGACTTGATTGATCGAGGAGGAAGTGATACCGCATCAACAGGAAGGGATTTGGAAGGAGTGCATGGTGCATAAGCCTGGTGACCTTCTAGACATTGGGAGCAAAGCGAGGTGTCCGGCAACTCGCCATCATCATAAACTCCAATTGAATCGACGCCACGGTAAGCTAGATCCTCAACCATTTTGGCTTTTCTTCTTCGTCTGTATGTATCTCTTTTTTATTTTCTTCCTCTTCGCAATTGGCTTTTCATGCGGGGATTTGTGAGGGGGTTCGTTGGCCCGCGACTAGCGTGTTGACATATCAAATGCACACGAAGATCGGGAGATCAATCCAAAACGCCTAGAGTCTATACATCTGATTCGTCAGAGCGGGGGGAACTGCAAGGGACCAACTGCCAGCACCACAACATGAAAAAAAAGAAAGACACGAGAGTGTTGGCTTACCCAAATAAGAATACAACAATGCAAGGAAGCAAAGGTACGAGATGCAATCGCCAGCCACAGGAGATATAAGAAAATTATAAGGGCAGAACCTTCAAGTTTTAAGGCGGACGGGTCGGAGCCGAGGGGTCTTTTTCTCTCATCTGGATCTGGATATCCACATCTCCACTTAAGAGTGACGACGCGGTCTGGAACCCAGCTGGAGCCAGGAACAACTGGGTCGCGAGCGGACGAACCAGTGGTTCTACAATTCTGCGATTCATTATGGGCAGAGAATGGGATTATGTAGGAAGTGGTCGACGTCACACTCGCCCACTGCAGCGATCGAGCCTTGGGCAGAAGCCCCCCCAGCCCAGCCCAGCAAGCAAAAAAAGAAATCATTGGAACAAGGGTGAAATGTCGGTCTGACCATGCGTGTGTTGTGCCAAAAGGCTAACCCACCCACCCTTCCCCTGTTGCCCTGGGGCCTGAGTGCCGAGTGACTGGATGCATCGCAGAATGACTTGCAGATGGCCCTCTCTCTGATCCTGCTGATCGTAGAGGCCCTGTTAGCGTCTTCTTAGTCGCACACCCTCCCGTCCCACCCCCGGCCAATCATCCGCCCCAGTCGCACTTTGACATGAACATGATCCACACACCGGGACTGGCGGCGACCAGTCGGTGCGCAGAACGAGGGGATAGTCGTCAGGGCTGAGCGAAGGCGATGACTTGGGCACCGAATCTCCATGATGGCTTGATTGGCGGACAGTCACCTAGAGGGAAAGACATAGTGGCGAGTGTGAAAATCTCGCCCCGACGCGTATGTAGGTGATCCGTCCTCGGTATTCAGAACTCCATTAAAAGATCGTAATCTCGATCGTAAGGATGGGTCCTGGACCCACCGGGCTCACATGGGGGAGAAATGGAAATGGAAGAATTGGAATTGCAAGAGCTGGGTTGGTCAGCCGAGAGTGCACACGGAGGAGCGGAGTATCATCAACGCCGCAGCATTGAAATAGTACAGAGTTACTATTAAATTAATTATGTACGTAGATTCCTATTCAAAGAAATTGAATCATCTCAAGTCAATATATGATCAATATACTCCATGTAATCCATACAATCCATTGACTACTACGGAGTACTAGTTGACTAGCATCTCAGGATGAACTTGCATGCTGAATTTTTCTTACAGCCGCTTACAACCGACGGGTTGAATAACCTTAAAATAACTAGCGGGCTTCATGTAACATTGGTAATATCCAGTAATCTAATTACCCCAGTTACACCAATGGGCCAAAATCTTGTCGGCCTGGACCTGAGGTCATTTCTCTTTCAAGGCATTGTGTGCGAATCATTCCATGGTTCTGCTCTGTTGCTGAAACTCTCGTGCTCGTACCTGGACATCCATGATTCATGATTCAGGATATGTATACGCCTCTGGCTGGGGCAATGTCGGGGAATTTGGGGGGCATTTCGGGATCGGCAATCGAGCAACAGGCTTTTCGATTTTTTGCTTCTTCAAAATGAAGTCTTGTGCCTTGCTGCATTTGGCTAGTCTTCCGCCTATCATATGTACTTCCGACTAAAGCGTTCCTCATCTGTCTGGGTAGTTCCGACCGCACCGGGTGAGGTCTCTGCCCAGGTGGTTGAGTTTTCCATGCATTGTATACTACCTACTACGTACGTTTGGCTCTTGTCCAAGGAACACATTCCGTGAAATCGATGAGAGTCTTAGAGGATCAGAAGGAAATTGGTTATACTATTTTGAAGAGGTGCCGCACAGGCTACTTTAACTTTTTGATCCTCGCCCGTGCGAAGGGTACTGTTGCGTTCTTGGATTTCTGCTTTTTTGCAATAATCATACCTCAAAGTGCTTACTATAATCAACTCTATTATCTGATACAGCCTGTAGTCAAATGTGGTTGCCATAGTACGAAGTCCTGCATGCATTCATGATGCGATTCAAAGGTGCTTAACACTCAGGTGATGGCTTCCAAGTTCGACGCCAATTGATAAACACTGATTGCTAGATCTACCTACATTGCGTTCAATCTATGGAGCTCACAAGGCTGTAAAATCGAGAGTAGATGTGCTTAACGCCGCAAGAATAAAATCAAAATAATCATCACAATCATAATCATAGTAAAAGTTCGAAGACGCCCAAGTTCATGCATGCATGGGGAGGATAGCAATTTTTACATGCGTCTTCGTGTCCGTAGGCTCCCCGGGAGAGATGGTATCATCGCAGAAAAAAGGTTCAGAGAGAGGTATTTACGGGCGCATGAAACATAAAATGCAGAAACGTCAGAAGTAATCGGGAAAGAAACTGAAACTGAAGGTGTATCGCGGTAGCGTTTGCATGTAGACCAAGCCAAAAGCTTAGTAGAGTTTATATTTCTAGTAGTATCGTTAGTCACGTTCTTAGGATAATTGAATTGAAACCGAATATTTTCTGTCCACTTACATCTTCCATCTTGCGCCGGTTGCTCGGGTCCAGGGTATTGCCAGCACCCAGAAGAGTACGTCCCACGGCCTTGGAAACGCCAATCGCTGGCCGCAGGACTACTGTCGGAGCGCGTTTCCAGACGGCTCTGGCAGCAGCTGTTGCACTG